CCCTAAACTCCAGGAACAACCCCAACTGATTTCCTAAACAGTTAAACCTGTGAACCAAAGGACGAAGTTAAATAAATAAGCCTGCAAACCTTCAGAATACAGCTTAACCCCTTTGCCACTGTACTGTGACATCCAGCCTCTCCACCAGCTGCACAGCTAAATTAAGACTGATTACCACGCCCAGCAACCTTCGTTAGACCCAAGCTTTGGTCAGAAAAAAATATAGCAATCCAAATCTCACAGATTTGAACGCAACCCTGATTAAGCAATTAAGACGTTAACCTAAGTCTTATTGAGGATTACAACCCAAACAAACAATCCTAACTTCCAAATCCTTGAACAATGCAAACATGTATAATTAATTAACTTACATTTTGTTTAGCAACCCCCCCCCCCCCCCCCTCCCCGTGACATCACGTGTTTTGGGGCTTGTGCGCTGCCACCTAGGCAACATTTCTTTCCTGAGCTAGACTGGACCTCCTACCAGTAACCACACTTTGAGAGCAGCGGCAGACCAAAAGAATGCAAGGGTCTCATTTGGAAGACACTGGTTCAAATCCTGGGTTAGAAAATGGGGCTTTTTCTTTTGTTCGGGACAAAATAGTAAAATCCTAAGCTGCACAGTCCCCGTGGTGACATCACTACACTCGAGATACTCGCATAAACGCTCCGTACCCATCTTCAGCAGCAAGATTTCCAATTCTGGCAGTACCGCTTTCCGTTAGTCTTTTAGTCGAGGTTCCGACCATACTGCAGATGTTGGTCCCTGAGTACTAAGTAGCAAAAAGCATTCTGCAAATGATAATTGAAGGCAAAACAATAATTCCGTTCACTTGGCTTGTATTATAAAAACTGCATTCCTTCTTTTACATTTTCCAAGTCATAGACATACACACACACATAAAACTGAAACAAAACACTTATATTTCAATCACAGCATCATCAATCACAACCTCATGCTTCTTCTATGTTAACGCTTAAAAGGGCTGTTGGCACACTGTGTTGTGGTTGACAGCTAGGCTGTGATTTTTGCAGTTTTCAGTAGAACCCCAATTACTCACTTTTATGACACACTTGCTTAGGGTCAGTGGGTTTATTCATTTCCCCCTTTCCCTGCACAAAACAGGACCCCACAACTCACATAAGGAAAATAAAATCAACACTGTCCTGCCAGTGCAACACTTGGACATTATGAAAGATCCTCATATAAAATTAACTCTTGCGAGGTCAAATGCCTAATAAGAAAAGCCACCAACTTATGCACTGGAGAACAAATGAGAACTGACACTATCAGACACATTATAGGGGATGAATCAAATCTATTGGGGTAACATGCTTTGGTCATCTCATAAGAATGCTGCTACAATAACCACCAACACAGATACTACACCTAAAGGATGTGTGAAAAAAAAGAGAGTACTCAAGAAGAATATGGCTACGTTGATGTCAAATTAGAGCTGAAAATTAGAGCATTCGGCCGAAAACGGTTCCTTCCCAATGACACTTGAAGGCAAAAGTGTGATCCTGTTGCTAATATAATCATAAATACATGAATGATTTTAATTTCTCCATATATTTTTGTCTCAAGAGATTCCATGCACACCGTGTACATTTCTAGGATTATTCTAAGTCATCTCTCAGTGTTCATAATACCTTGTCTAGGCATATGGATTTAAATTATTCATCACGCCCATTAACATTTAAATTTTTTGTCAAGGATCAATGGTGAGTTGCACCACATCTGTTTATTTTAATTATTATATTTGCTTATTGCAATGTATTACATGTTTATTACAACATTTTACATCCATTCATTCAATGTATTACATCCGCACATTTAATGTATTATGAGAGGAAGTCAATGAGTAAGTCACAAATGGTTATGGGATGGCAGGAAAATGTTGGTGGTTTCTGAAGGGGTCATTAGGGACAGCAACATCGAACTTTATGTCTCCGTTCATTAGGTGGCTCTAGGTTTTGCATGCACATTTTCAATACAGAAACAAAATGGCGACTGTACTCACCGAGTGTAACCTCAAAGAACAAGATGCTGTCGTGCTATATTGGGGGGGGGGGGGGGGGGGTGGCCTGAGGGAAAGGGCTGCCTGCAAAGGACATTTATAAGGAAATGCTTCCTGTTTATGTTGACAAATGTTTATCCTGTAAAGCGGTGCATAGCTGGTTAAATAAAATTTTCTCAAGGACGCTCTAAAATTGTTGATGAAGTCTGATCTGGTCATCCTGTTGAGATTGCAACAAAAGCATCCGTGCAGCGGGTGGAGGAGATGACTAGAGCTGACAGGTGAGAAACGGTTGATTCTGTTGCAGTGGCAATAGGGTGCTCACGTGGTTCAATATACAACACAATGAATGATCCACATGTGGGTCCTGGGGCCCCATTGTGGGGGGGGGGGAACAAGAATTTATCGACTGCCTGCCCAATTGCATGTCGTAAGAGTCGACTAATTGGGAGCTTCCTTCAAAGTCAGAGTACATCTGGCTCGAACTCGGGAGAAAATTAACCATTCAGGGTGGGAACTTCTGAAACATTCGACTTACAGCCCTGACTTACAGTCCACTAAAAACCCACCTTGGTGGGAGACACTTTGAGAATGATGCAGAAGTTGAATATGAAGTAAAAATATGGTTTAGAAAACAGAGCTTGCACTTCAACGCAACAGGTTTGGGAGGACTGATAATATGATGGGATAAAGGCATCAATGTTGGTGGAAATAATGTTGAAAAAAAAAGGGATAGTGTATGTGTAAAATTAAATGGTTTTCAAGTTGTTATCATCTCTAGTTTTATTTAAAACAACCATTTGTGACTTACTTATTGACTTTCCTTTCATACATTCATTTAGTGTCGTCTTACATCTTTTGTTCTTACATTGCATCTGTTTATTCTAACCCGACAGGTCCAGACTTAATCACTGTGCCACACAACACTTGTAGCAGTCAGTTAGTTTTCATGGGCCTATTATGTTTCTTCTTCTTCAGCCTTTCATCTCCCAGTGGAGCATAGGCTCTCAAATACTGTACATCAAGCCCAGTAGACTTGTTAATGACTGGTTGATTTTGCAACCAGTGTTGTTCTAGATAAGGCAGCCAGTTTCTTCTGACCATTAACCAACCCTCTCTGACCCAGCTGTTCAAATCCTTACTCCACAGCGCTACATTTAACTTTTTCCAATCCAGAATTTGCTATACAAAAGCATACAGATACAACCAAATATTTTAACCAATGTTAACAAAAGAAATCACTACCTAGCTACAAACCTGAAATATGGCTGAATATTGATTTAAGAATAGACATCATACATATATATGTGCTTCTTCCTCAGCAAAAGACATAAAGTGCTAGGCTGATTATTCCAGTAGAACACTGGTTGTCCACAAGTCTTACTGCTCTCTTGTGTCCTTTCTTGCCTAATCTACACGAAATTACAAATTTAGAAAATCTTATGTACACTGTGTCATCTAACATTGTATTCTCCAGTATTTGATCAAAAAACAGTCTTCAGAATGTTTACCCTGTCAAACATGTGTCAATGCAGATACTGTCTTTGTAGCCAAAAAAATCTGCAAATTCATTCCCTTGCACGTCTCAGACAGTTATGTCCACGTGGGTGCCTGTAATGCTGACAAATGTGTGCTTGGTATCCATCTACACATGCCACAGCTGTCCATTTGTGGCTATACTGACTGAGAATCAGACCCAATGATTCCTTAACTTTTGTTCGGGTCCCAGCTAACCACCTCAGTGCTCCGTGACTGTCTCTAGTTCCATCCTCATGCTCGACAATTATAATTAGTAATCAAAAGTGTTCAAATCTTCTTCTTTCGCGTTCACTGGTTGTTAACTCCTCGTCTTTGAGGATATACGGCCGGATGGCTAGTGCTGTCACCACGACTGTGCAGGTGAGGATTTTATTTTGCCCCCGTCAGTAAAAAATCCCCAGCCTTACCAAGGATTTTAACCCACGTCACCCTCTTGAGAGCCTAGCATTCTAAATGTTCGGCCAGCCGCTCCTCACCTTGAGCACACTTTCTTAAATTTCAGTCGATCATGCATTTTCTTCCTCTTCTTCACCAGCTGTAAACTTTTGCAGAAAGTTATGACTGTTCGCCCACTTCTGGACTCTGGCCCTGTTTCAGAAACTGAGTGTTGCGTGCACATCCGTTTGACAGGTATAATGCTGCTGCATGCAGACTGTTGATTCTCAGACAGATGTACTCCCGATTTTAAAGGAAACTCCCAATAAGTCGACTCTTACGACATGCTTCTGTGCAGGCAGGGGGTCAATTGTTGTTTTCTCCACAATGGGGTCCTAGAATGCATATGGGGAAGTGTTCAAACAACATAAACTAATTTCATTTAAAACATGTTAATTTATTATTTGTCCTTCTGGTATTTCACTTCTGCAGTCAAGAATTCCCGTTTGTGTTTCTTAATGAAGAGTTTGGTCAAAACCTTTACTTTTTTTTTTAAAACTTTCTCTTTGCCCAACTTCTTAGTTATATTCTGTATCCCTTCATTTTTTTTTTTTTTTCACATCACCCAGACAACAATCACTCCAATTTCACACAATAAAATCAACACAGTCAGAAACAAAACAAATGGTAAAGTGTGAAAATCATAACTTATGTCTTTCTATTTTCCCCTCCAGGATTAAAACCTCAAGGATGAGAATCAAACAGGTACAAAACAAAGGAAACCCTGTTCAACAGCATAAAGCAGTTATATTAGGGTACCAATGGTTGCACTGTAACCTGAAGTCTGGTTAATATGTAAATGTCTTTACACAGTTTAAGACATGCAGCTGCGCTTAAACCAGCCATAAAACAAACACACACACAACAAAAATGCACCTAATTTATAATTGCATTTGATCACAAGATGATGTGTGCTTCATACAATCACATTTTAAAAAAAAAACAGCCGCAACAATACATTTAATTCATCATCAAACCCACAGGTTAAAGGTTGGCCAACAAGTTTCAGTAGTAAGAGTTTGCTCCCTGTGAGGGAATACTGAGATACATCTGCAGTGAAATGAGGGCAACCAGAGAGGTGAATCCTGCCTTCATCAAGAGAAGCATCCAGGATCCCAGGCCGACTGCCTGTGTGAGAATCCTGTATTTGGAAAATGTTAAGAATATATTTAAAATAAACTGTTACAAAATAATTTAAAGCAACAACACAGCTGTCAATAATTTAATGAAATTAACAAAATACTGAATAGGTTTTTAGTGAAACTTGCAGAAGCCGCACAATCAAAATGAACAATCCCACTTTGTGCAAACAAAAATAATATGCAGTAAATTTAAAATTCTGTGCACCATCTTGAATTGTTGGAATTGAATTGTTTGTGTCTGCATTATTTGCAGAAGGCCGTGTTAGCGCAGTCAATAAGAGACTCGCTTTCAAATCCAACTGCGACTCGCTGCAGCCCACGGCCGTTCGAAATCGGGCGGTTCCCGGGGTTCACCCAGCCTCTCAGTAATGGGGACCAGAGTTAACACTCTAGGTAAATAGAGGAACATCACTGAAGCTACTGAGTTGCGTGCAGATGGCGACATAGGCGGACAGTTTCTTATCATCTGTCTGAGCACTTATGGTTTATAACCGTATGCAATGAGGCTGGTTCACATCTCCTGACTTTACTTGCATTAATTAAACAATATAAAGTATAAAGTATTAAAAACACAGTTAGTAATCTCATTACAACTTTTCAGTCTTTCTAGATGACAGAGTTATACTGCACAACACAGAGAGAATAAAAGATATTTAATACAATATAAAAGGTCACACAAAATAACTCGTAAACAAGAAGGAAACAAAAGATAACTTATTTAACAACAACAAGAAAGGAAATGAAATAGAAATAATTTATCAAACAAGAAGGTGAATAAAAGATAATACTCACTCAACAATCAAAGGCCTATAGCATGCCAGGGCCAACAGAGAAATGACAATAGGCAACGATGACTTCTGGAGGTCACTGCGACTGTACAACCACACCAACATAGCCACACTGATGTGATGAATCTGTCGACAGATGATGGTGGCAATTAACTCATGGTAAATATTATCTTAATATATGGAAGTGAATCATGGACAGTTGGTAGATTAGCGAAAAATTAGTTTGAAGCTGCGTAGGTGTGGTTTTATAGATGAATTATGAGAATACCCTGGATAGAAAAAAAAGAGTGATGAAGACGTCATGAAAGAAACTGACTCATTAAGAGAACTGATTGCCCACATCAGATAGAGATACTCTACAATCTTTGATCATGTGATGAGAAGGATAAAACTGGAGTACATCGTGACAGCAGGAAAGTAGAGGGGAGGAGAAAAGAACAGATGCTGGACAGTCTGACATCATGGCATGGAAGATCATCTGTGTCAGAATTGACTGAAAGTACACGAGACAGACGGTTGTGGATAGGACTACCAATGCCACACAGAATGATGGACTTTAAGATGAAGAAGAAGAAGAAAAAAACATTCTGACACAAGACATGAAGCATACGAACCACAAACACCTAGCACCTGCATTTTAAGTTAACTGAGTAGTCGGCACTACTTGTTCTCTTTTAATGCAGACAGGAAGTAGAACTAGCCAGCCTCACAATACCATAATCATAAATGGCGAATGAACACTGTGGCTAGAAAGCCTTCATCAGCATATGACATAAACAGATAATGAAATAATTACAAACAAGAATACATTAAATCAGTTAGCTTAACAGTAAGGCCTGTCACATCATGTATCTCCAACAGTATTTTTATTATAAAGGTGCATAGTTTTGGTATAAGCAATAACTGTTTTATTTAGGAACCATGGCAGGGAACTGGGTAGCACACTTGGATGCTGGCCTGGAGGTTATGTGTTCAAACTACCTGTCTTTTAACTATGGATCCTGGCTTCCAGGTTGAACCTACTTAAATAAAGGAACTGTTCTGGCATGTTTCCTGATGCAGCTGCAGTCCCAAATTATCTCAACTGATTGTTCCCATACAATGTTAGTCTCTGACCCTGACAATGAAGTTGATATGGGCAATGTTTTACCAGGCTTTAATTCCAGGCTATGTAGTCGGGTTAGCACAAGAGACTCACCATTATCCACCAGTCTAGGCCATACAGCACTGATTACACCAGCTCTGTCCATGTTTCTCCCTGATTGTATCAGTACCCTTATTTGCCTGTTAATCGGCTCGAGCAGAAGCTGGCTAAATTAGAATTCTAGGCTGTCAGGCGAGAGACCACGGTTCGATGCTCAGTAAGGTGATAAAGATTTGTTCCATTCAGAGACAAAAATGACACCCTATCCATGGTAACCGCACCAGCCACATAGCTCTAAATCCTCGGGCTCAAGGTCCCTTGTCCAACACTGCCCTAAAAAGTGGACCATATAGGCAGCAACAACCATTTTTTTGAATAGTCTGCTCATTCATGACCTTCTACTATGGCATGTCAGTGAGTGTAGATTCAGGCGACGGAGATGAAGTGTGACTTCTGTATGTTGTCTACATATGGAGAGCAATATAATATTTTTAAAAATCCATGGATAAGACAAAATTGCCAATCAGAATATGTAGTGTGGCAAAGTCACAGGAGAAAGTAAAACTCAGTAAGAGGTGATTAAAGAATGTAGGCATGAAACTAATGTAGAAGAAAAAGAAAAACAGAAAAAAAAAGAAGCCATACAAACGACTCAGTACATTACTGGTAATTTCAAAGAATGGAATAGCTGTTGCTGCATGCTGCAACACAAAGAAAACAAATATAAATAGTTATTTTATAATTTTTCAGAGATCACATGTTCTTGCTGAGGCCAAGAAAGAGCTGGAGAAGATACCTAAACAAGAAAAGAATGCACAAATGAACTGTATTTTAAAGGATCACAAACAGGGCACTCAGGACTGTGTTACATTAGGACCTTCTAAACGCTCTTCTGCCTTCCAAACGCTCTTCTGTCACAAAGCAGTTTTATTTTATCAATGCAGCACATTATGTTCATATAGCAAAAAATATTAAATGGATATTAAATAAAAACAGAACAGGGTGGATGGCAAATGAGACAGGGTCAGGCATAAAGAGAACAAATGAATGCAGATTTAAACTCACCAAACTAATGTTGGAGTCAAAACTCATCTGGATATACTTCCAATCAAACTCCACACCTCTTGCACCCATCCAGAGAGGAACAAACCTGAAACGCAAAGCATATTTGTAATAAAGTGACCTCCCTTTGGGCAATGGGTTGCAGTCTGTTCTGTTAAAGATCTAAGTATGTATTATTATAAAACTGAAAGAAAAGGAAGACGAAGAAGAAGTGAAATACTTAAACACTGATACAAGTAATAAAGTCAATCCACTGCTGTATTTGTGAGCCATGGTGGTGTAGTGGCCAGCATCGATGCCTTTTGGCATAAGAGCCATATGTTCAAATCCTCAAAGAGAAAGATTTTCCCACATTTGATCTGGGCTCCTGGGTTGACACACCCTAAAGGGAAACAGAAAATATTCTGGAAAATACAGCTGGCCATTATGACACAAGGAAATACCTGAATCTTCTGGAGGAAACAGGATCACCCTAGACCTAAGCTCAGCCAGCCCGTATGTGTTATGCTAAATCATGACCTGGTATCATCTTACTAATTATGCTTCCCCCTAGTTACAGTACTGGTACAGTACACCTTGCAGGTTTCTGAGCTGAGAGCAGGGAAGGACAGCTCTGCAACACAGTCCCCATGGAGTCATTTCTTTCGTGCAGTCTGGAAGCAAGGTCTCCATGCCAACTCCACTCCAATGGGTGCAAGACCCTTCTAGAGCTCAGATAACCTGACCGCCAAAGCATTTCTTTGCAGAAACAATCTCGTCACAGCCTAACAGAAAGGTCCTCTGTCCTTTACTAGTTCACATACTTTATACATCTAAAGGATGATCAAATTTCTCATATCCTTCATGTTGTTAGTAGGCACCTGACTATTTTCCCCATGAACTATGCCTTGAATTCCTGTACTTTTAGAACCACCAATCTTTACTCTACTACTTTCCATGAGTGCAAATCAAACAAGTTAATTTGTTTGTCATACTGGTAGAGGACAAGAGCCTATTCACCCCCAAAATCCCTCCCCATACCAAATGAGCCCTGGAACCAACAAGGATTCTATCTCATGGCTTTCACTCATCACAGTACAGTTACCTGGTAACAGCCAGCTCTGCTGTGGCCCACCCCATGCCTGCAATCATAAACTTCAGTTGACCCTTGCCGGCAAACTTGGACATAACAATGTGAAGACCAATCAGATCTGCAATATCTACTGTTGATTTGAGAAACTCCTGCAACAAAAACAAAAAGTTAGTTGTGTGACCTTTACAGGATGTTGCAGAACCAACACAAGCATATTTTAGTTGCTGCAGTTTTTCTATGCAAATTTACATTCATTAGTTTGCCACTGCTTTCTCAACAGTAAGGTCTCGATACCACAGACGCAACTAACGCAAGACGGTCTGCTGCCAAAGAACCTGCAGCTAGAATCAAACCTAGCACTCTGACATTACAAAGCGCATTTGCAGTGCCTAAGCCACAGAAGAAAAAAGGTGACATGAAGGAGGAGGCATGATTGGAAACAAATATGGTATGTTATCATAAAAAGCATCACAGTACCCTGGGCATTTCTATGTGTGCTCAGTCCTCAAAAGTAACAGCCATCTCAAGGTACTACTCCTGACTCCCTTCAGGGCTTTGAGATTATCAGCCTGTGTATGCTTAATCCCTGATGTATAAATTATTTTTTTTTAAATATAAATATGGAATACTGACAGACATAAACACTAATATGAAAACCCTGGTAGTGCATGGATACGCCTGCCTGCCAGCATAACGGTCTGGCTTCAAACCAACATTGAGATGGATCCTGTCATAAATGACCCTAGCTCCCAGGTGACCCAGATTAAAAGGGATAGCAAAATATGCACTGGAAAGTACAGACAGCCTCAGCGTTGCTGATTGCATCACTCATCAAGTGTCGATTTGTTTATAGAATTAGAGTCGGATGTGCACGCAAAACTCAAGTTCTGGAACAAGACTAAATTCCTAAATGACAAACAACCAGAACTTTCGACCGAAGTTTACAGCCAGTGAACTTTAAGAAGAAAAAAGACTCAAACAGATGCACTCATGCTTCAAAGGAAAACTCTTTAATTAGCCAATATGCTTGTTGGGGAGGGGGAGGGTGGCAGTGAGTCTCTTCCCCCTTACTACTGGTGCGAAAAAGGACCAAATGCTATAATTTTTTTATTGCTGGTAAATTGTTTTGCATTGGTTTCTCCCAACCCTTTATAACAGCTAAGAGATATTTCATCTTTCTTCTTGTGTTAATATCTGCTTCGTGCTGCTAGACATCACAGTTTATCAGATGATCAGAGGCCAAGTCAGGATGTACTCGGTCGTCTGGAATGCAGTGATGTTGTGAAGTCTTAGGCTGTGAGTGACTTATTCAAGAGATACTTAATACATGTCATAATGATGCTATCTACAGTTTAAAGATTACTTTACAAATGAGCATGCATAACTGAGGACACTGACCCCTGCAATATCAAGTCCTCCAGCTGATGCTTCTGTGGCTGGGAAGAAGGTTGCCAGTAGCAACATCTTGCATAGCTGTGTGAACAGATAGGCTGCACCAGCTTGTACACACTTCCAGAAAGCACTGTACTCAGCTCTGGAACAGTAGATATTAATGGTTAACAAAGAAGTCTTGCAAAGAATTCATAAACAACACTGGTGGCATCTTCCCACTGTGCTACAGGGAGGCAGGAGATCCTAGACCATGGCGATGTCAATTAAGGTCAGGGATAAGTTCCTCCTCTCCACAGCACAAAGCCTGGGTAGTACTGTAGAGACCATGTATTGTCCATGTAGTGTGATCCCTCCCCTGGCCTGCACTGATGTTTCTCAATAGTACTGCAGAGTTTGTACAACTATGCCTACTACTACTAAGTGAGCGTGAATCTGTGAGATATTAACAGTATTTCTAGAAGTACCCTTTTTTCACCGAAAGTTTTTTGCAAACTAAATAGTTTGTACACATAAATATGTGAATTTAATATATCTGTACACAATTTATTTTAAAGATTTATTAACACACTGGGCATATCTACCTCCCTCATAGGAAATTAAAGATGTGTGTCTTATACTGATGGTTCTAGCAGCACATTGTTTATATACATATCATATTCTTCCTCTCATATTTTGTTTTTGCTAGATCCAGGCTTAATTTTAAATTCTTTAAAATCTTAATAAGATTTTTTTTTAAAGCAAAGGACCCTTTTCCACTCCTTTAGGCATACTAGGCATATAGGGCTAGACCTGATCTTATAGACTAATCTGCACTTAGTGGGTGATGTGGTCAGCATCACGCTTGCAGCCTTGACTTCCCAGGACTGCATCTGGCACTTACTCAAGGCTGGGTCGACCTGGAAGCTGGGGACATTTTTTTTAAAAGTCAGAGTCTGTCAGGACTCAAACCCATGACCTTTAGATCCGTAGGCGAGTGTTTGGCTGCTACAAAATGGCTCCCAAAATCTGAAGAAAAAATCAGTGATTAATCACTGTCAATACAGTTACTGCAGCCATTGCCTGGTTTAAAAACAAGCTGCACACACACCTTAATTGAATCTGACTCACAAGCATACTGAGAAAGGTGGGCAAGCTCACTTCAGATATCCTAGATTGTTAGCATCATTTGGATATTTTCTCCAGTACTTGTAGGTGTTGGGAAGTAAAATGCAGACAGATTGGCTGGTTCTGCACCATTTGGTGGTAAATGGATGCATTTCATAAAAAGCTAGATGTTATCAAGGCCCTTTGGGACAGTGTGGATCAAACAGATCAACATGGTGGTCTGAAAGAATGGTGTAGTGGGAAGCGACCAGGGGATATGACACAGAGATGAAATCACAATTTGAACTCTGCACTGGCTGCAGAAGATGGGTAAGAGCGCTTATGGAAACAGCTTAGGGGGCTGCATTAGCGCAGTCGATAGGAGACTCACTTTCAAATTCAGCTGCCAATCACTGCAGCCCACGGCCGGTGTTCGAAACCGGATGGTTCACGGGGTTCCCAACCCAGCCTCTAGGTAATGGGTACCAGAGTTGACACTCTGGGGTAAATGGAGGAATGTCGCTGTAGCTACGGAGTTGCGTGTGGACGGCGACACAGCTGTCCGCACTGGTGGCAGAGCACTTATGGTTTATAACCGTGTAAATGACGCTGGTTGATATCTCCCTACTTTTACCTTTGCTTATGGCAACAAAGCACTTATTATGGCAGTGTCCTTATGCTGTAATGTCAGCTCTAAACTCAGCGCAGCCTTATCCTGGTACACACTTCAGGTTACTTCAAAATCATCAGAGGCCCCATTATAACTTGTGGTTCAAGGTTAAAAAAGAGGCTTACTAGGATTTGTAGGCTCTCCTTTGAATAACGGTCCCAAATGATCTACACAGAAAGTGAACCCAAACAGAGCCTAAAATTCGCATTTCTTTTGCGGCGAATCAACCGTGTCAAAAGTAGGATTAATTGTGCACGACATTTTCGCGAAACGCAACCGATTTTTTCACGGCGATTACACAGCAGCAAAACTAGGATTAACTACGGACGAAAAAAGTTAGCGACACGCGAGAATACTCCCGATAGCGCTATCCTACGGCAGGGCAGGAGTTATATGTAAGTTGCGGACCGCTTTTTGCCGGCTATAGTGCCACCTCCGAGAGTATTCCCTGCACCGCTATGCGCGGCGCAGAAGGGGCTAAACTAGATGGCTAGGACTCACGAGCAGCAGCTACCGCAGCTTCCCCCAATGTATTTGCTCATGAGTCCCAGCCATCTAGTTTAGCCCCTTCCACGCTGCGCGCAGCGGCGCAGGGGATACTCTCGGAGGTGGCACTATAGTCACCGGAAAAAGTCTACAATTCGTGGCGGCTGCTGGTTTGAAGTTGTCCGAGGTGAAATGCGCTTACATTAAACCATGCATTTACATCCTGTCTCGCCCGGAACAAGAATCGCGGACAAGCCGTGCTGAGTTACAATCGCGGACAGCGAGACAGAACAGATATTCGCGCACTATTTGCAACTTCTGTGCTACAATTTTCACATATAAAGGATTTAATTTTCGGTAAGTAGTAGACTTTGCCCTTTTCCTTACACTTTTCGTTCCTAATTTTTTCCGAGTTACAGCTTTTAAATGTTTGTAGGGCAGGACGTAATGAGGCTATGTTAGGGTTCACTTTCTGCGTAGATCATTTGGGACCATTATTCAAAGGAGAGCCGGATTTGTACATTTGGGTTTGAGTTTGAGTATCATTCTTAATTTGTTAATCCTATAGCATACAAACTGCAATGCAAACAACTCAACTATATTCGTTCCCTGTTTTGTTCCCCGTGCCATTCAGAGCATTGGGTGGTGGGGGTGTTCGCCCTGCATAATATATTATGTGTACAATTAATTTTTTAAAAAGGTGAGGGGTCGTGGGGGCATTCGCTATCGACTATCGACGATCAGAGTGCTTATTCTAGCCACTACAGTTTCGGAAATCTGCGATCTTTTCGACAATTTCCGTTACCATAGAAACCGTTTAAAACTTGTTTCGCAAATGTCGGCTGGGGTTTCGGGATGGGTCCTAATCTCTCATGAAATTTTGCGATTGGTGTGATTTTCACCCACTCTAAATAGCTGAAAACGGCGGGAAGGAATCCGATTAACAGCGCATGTCTACGACAGCCGGACGTCCTCTGTTTTTCTGTTACATCAGTTTGATTGAAAATAGCGATTAGGATTCAGGGTTGGCTTTAGGCTTTAAAAATTACTCGTACTGGTAATGCTAGTTATAATTGAATTCTCCGTTCAATTTTACATTTAGATTTACAAATTTCTTTCTGTACAGTGGCTTTTTAAATTTACAGTGACATTTTTTAGGCAATCGGTATGTGGCTGTGTCTCATTGTCTGCCATCTTGTCCAGTGACATTCCAATGTCAACAAAGCCAAAACAGAAGTGCGCATGCGCAGAGAAAACCTTCTTTCTAAGACGCAAGTTTTAGCAGCTGCTTTCTACATCTCATCTCCACAAAAACCTACATATCTCAGCTCAGAAATGACATACAAGCCTAAATGAGGAACCATTGGAAAGAGATTGTTTACAGCTATCTAACTGTGCTGATTTTATTAGTGTAGAGGGCATTTTAAAAATTTGACTGAAGTAGCTACATATTCTGAATAATAATTAAATCTGCCTGAGAGGTGAGGAACTAACAGTATGCATAGAAAATACACCAGATCTGAGCACGCAAAATTCAAGTTCCAGAAAAAGAACAATTTGAAAGTCCAGAAGTGAGAAGTGGACGAACAACCAGAACTTGACACCAGCAGCCGGTGAACGAATTAAAAAAGGCTTCGCTCTAATGATTTTATTCAGCTCACAGTATATTACTTATCAAATTATTCACAGTAATATACTTACAAACCAGAACATTTATAAACGATGACATAAGGCACGTAGGCTAAAGCTACACAGTTCCCGAAGTGAAAGAAAGTCATCTCGTCAAAGTCCTCCAACTGCAGAAATGTGGACACAAAATCTAACGGTTCGTCCCCGGAAGTGGCACCATGTTGACCTACCAGACACGGGGTATTTGTAATTAATATTTTCAACAAAATCTAAATCTTATATCAAAGGTTTTTAATTTTTATGATTTTTAAACATCATAATGATTACTATATGTTTATATTTATTTAATTTTAAATGAGAATATTACGTGCGGAACTATACTTAGCAACGCACCTTTGCTTTCATTGGTAACAATTTTATAAAGATTTTTAGGAGATATTTCTCGCGTTTTCTGCGAGCCGCAGGGTTTCTTGTGGGAGGAATAAAGTCGTAAATTTGCAGATATGAGCATCAACTTTCACGCCAATCAGGTAAAGTCTTGTTTATGGATAATTACTTCCTAATTGTTGTTTGTGTAACTATAATTGATGTGAAATTGGCAGGGATGCTTGAGTCGTAGTGAAGTATTATATATATGGCATGAAAGCATTAGGCTATCCTCCGAATAACGGTCCCAAATTGTCGAGGCCGAAAATATACCCTAACAGGGCCTCATTCCCATGTAAATTTTGGACTTCCGGCAACTTAAATTGCGTACTCCCTGCGACTACCGCCACTGTCGAGAGTATCTCCCACGCCGCTACACGCAGCGTGGAGCGAGGTTAAACTAGATGGCTGGGACTCACGAGCAGCAGCTACCGCATCTCCTGCAGCTTCCTTCATTTTATTTGCTTGTGAGTCTCAGCAATCTAGCGCATAGCGGCGTGGGCTCTTCTTTCACTACCGGACGGTAGCTTGATGGCTTAGGTCGGTTTAGTGGGAGTTCTCTCCCTTGGCCGCATTGCAAACAAGGAGCGGAAAAGTCACGAATCAAATGACATACTTACCTATCATCATGAATTCCAGAGAAATTTGACTAAAAAGCTCAACAAAATGGGAAAAAGGAAAACGTGCACAAAACAACACAACGTAACGTTTCGGCCAGGCAGCCTTTTTCAAACACAAGTGGACTACACATACGGTTGCGTGTAGGGTTGCGTACGGTTGCGTGTAGGGTAGCGTAGTCATCATACGGTTGCGTAGTCATCATACGGTTGCGTAGTCATCATACGGTTGCGTGTAGTTTTTGGGTTAGGGTTAGGGGTAGGGTTAGATGTGAAAATTTTGACGTAGAAGTTCCAAATACTGGCCGACAATCTGATGCTTGTGGGAGTGGCGCCACTGGAATTCTGCCAAATATGACGGCAATAGCGCACGGCTATTGCCCAATCGGTGGCGAATTGTCCGTGTCAGTAGCATCCACAGTCTGTCGACTGTTTGGGTGTGTATGTGACTGCGTGATTATAGGGAATTCTGGCGTCAAAAGTGTCACATCTAACGCTAAACCTAACCCTACCCCTACCCCTAACCGTAACCCTACCCCTAACCACGCAAATTTATCGGTCATTAAAGCATACAAATCGGCAAAAACCAAAAAAAAAAAATAGATTTCCCAGCAGCTTCAAAAAAAAAAAAAACAGATCTGGGGGACACAACCAAGTATTGGCAGCCCTGATGTCGACCTCACTGTCTTCTTTGATTCGTGACTTTTCCGCTCCTTGTTTGCAATGCGGCCAAGGGAGAGAACTCCCACTAAGCCGAACTAAGCCGTCCAGCTACCGTTCGGTAGTGAAAGGAGAGCTGCGGCGTGGGAGATACTTTCTGCGGTGGCGGTAGTTGCCGGAAGTCCGCAATTTACGTGTGACTGAGGCCCTGTTAGGGTATATTTTCGGCCTCGATAATTTGGGACTGCTATTTGGAGGATAGCCAAGTACTATATATTCAGGTTTTTTTACTTATGAATCCATCACAGCTAGATAGAGATTAAAATTACAAATCAAACGATACCTCATTAAAGCCTGTACGTCAATTCCAAACGGAAATATGAAAATTCTTTTGGCGGATTCCACTGTAAACAAATTAGGGCTCCCCTCCAAACTTCTACCCCAGGCAAAATACCCTAACAGGGAGAGCTTCAGTTATGTGTAAAATGCGGACTTCCTGCGATGAACACATTGTGGCCAAACTAGGATTACTTGACAATTTCAAGAGACGCAACACTGCAGACGATAGTAGCAGACGATAATAGTGACCATTGACAATTTCGAGTGTTTCTGCAGACGATACTAACAGATGATACTAGCGACCATTGACAATTTTGAGACACGCAATATTACAGACAACAATCTGGAGATGGCGGGAAGACCACACGCTCTTACTCACATTAGCGATAGTGTTCTTCCGATTAAATTCACCGCCGAGCATATCCCCCCGCGACGCTACATGCTGCGAGGATGGGGATCTAAACTAGATGCCTGGAACTCATGAGCAAAAAAATTGGAGGAAGTTGCAGAAGATGTAGTAGCTGCTGCTCGTGAGTCCCAGCCCTCTAGTTTAGCCTCCAATCAGCACCGCGGGTAGCGGCCTGTGGGATACTGTCAACGGTGCATCATAGTCACAGAAACAGGTCCGCAATTAACATATCACTGAGACCCTATTAGAGCATTTGTTTCGTTATTTGGAGCCGATCCTAGTTTTGCAGTGATTTGTTCCTCGGCAGGAAGTTATAGTGGTATCTGACAAAAGATGGGTCCCAGGCTGCGGCCCACTAAAATTTAGGAATTAAATTAATAAATGATTGCATTTTATGGCAATAACTCAATAACTTTTTTATTTCTTAACGAATCCCGTATCTGCTATAAATCACTGCAGTCAAGGCTGTGAGGCCTATCTATAAAGCATATCTTCAATACATGTGATGCAATGTGGGCCTAATTAATGGTCGCAAACTTAATTGCACTGGGCTTTACCCCACACGGATCGATCTGTCTCCACACAATGGCTAGCCACCTCTTGAGAATGTTGCAAAACCTCCATAGCTCTAGCAACGATTCCCAGTGGGCCTATAACTTTCAGACCATGAGACAAATGGCTTAACATCTTAGCCACTTTGTATTATGCCTTTACTCCATTGTATAGTTTAAACTTGCCACTTTGCACACATATGAATTAGCTGCTCTTTGTAGGTGAGTCGGTACTACTATTTGTGTGTGGGTTTTTTTTAATTACTGTTGTAGATTTCCCAAATAAAGCTCATACAACAGTAGTATTTTAGTGTGCTTTTAAACAAAATTACTTAAAATGCTCCGCCAATGTGGCCTGATGAGTGACATTCATAGACGAAGGCTGGAGGTGATCAGGTAAAAATATCTCCAATATAAATTTCTGTGAACTCTAAATAATAAAAGATGCATAAAAAATTTTTACAATGGTTGTGAACTTTAAAACATAACTCACATAACATTACTAATTTAGTAAGCATTTCAAGTTAATTACTAAAGAATCTAAGAAGACTTGGCTAAGGTAGCTGAAATTCATTATCGGAATTTGGGGTTGATCAGGTAAAAATATAATAATACTTGTATGATTATTTTGATGACAGTGGGGCTTTTATCCAAATCAATAATGTCACTATTATTTTAGTTGCTGTTTTTATATTGTATAGCCTGGAGGGAATGGTGATTTGGGGGGGGGGGGGGGGGGGGGAATGTGGATACAAAACTTTGCAGATGCATTGGCTATGAAATCACATAGGGCTGGAGAACTGGCTAGAGAAAGAAACTTTCAGCAGTACCATGAAGAGGGGGACATTAGGTAAATGACCTGTTGACTGATGAAAGTTTTTTATTCATGTCCAAGAAATTATATCTGTTACTTTATTTATTCTGCCACTGTTATTAATCTGTTAATATCTCTGATATTCCTCAGTATGAGCAAGCTTTTGCACCTCACAGACTGCAAAACTGGGAGGTCCCTAAACAGGAAGAGGGAATTGTAAGTACAATTTGTATTTAAAGTTTTGAAGCTAGGAACTCAAGCAGCTATGGTAGTGCAGTGGCGATCACAGCTGCCTGTCAGCCAAGTGGTTGTGTCTTGAAATTCCCATCAAAAGACAATTTGTGCAAATTGACCTGCACTCCTAAAATACAATTGGTACCAGGAAATTTTCTTGGAAGTAAAGTCCGGTGGCATGCTGTTGACTACATCATTAGTTAATTTATTATTTGTCTATAAAAATAAGGGACTAGGAGAAACACACCAGACGCACATGAAGTCTTGTCACCCAACATAGGACTGGCACTAATAACCGCATGACGCTGACCAATATGTTGAAGGGGGAATCTAAGCACCTATGGATGTGTCTGTAGTCATGTGAAGATAATCCACTCATAACTCTTGGTCATCTTGAGAAGTCTGTGTTAATGAAGTTTTACAGTAATTAAAAGCTCGGTTTTGTTTAACTGTTCGTTTGAACTGACTGATATAAAAATATACAATGTTTGTACTGGATTATTTTTTTATTTTTGAATGTGTACTTACCTTTAAGGTTTGCAGGTTAGTTATCTATCACAGCTATATTTGTATTATAGATTGTCATACTGGATAGACTGGATATTATAAGAGGTGGTAACTTCAGCTCTCTGATGGCTAGAGAACAAGATGCATACTAATGTTGCAATTGTAACAAACTGAAAGCTTGCTGAGAAAGGTTAGGACAGGGATGCTTCGAGAAAAGTGGCAAGCTTCACTGGAAAGGTCACAGGTAGTGAGCATATTTTGGATCTTTTCTCCAGGCCATGCTGGCTTAGTGGGTAATGAACAGGCAGACAGATTGGCTGGATCTGCACCTCTGGGTGGCGAATTGAAGGCAGATCAGGTCAAGGCCCTTTGGGAACAAGCAACGGAAACAGTAAAGAAAAAAGATTATTATGGCCTGGAGAGAATGAGGCACTTGGGTCTAACCAGAGGGTCTGGCCGGCTCACTTTATTCAGAGGAAAGGCAAGATGGACATATCCCAGATTTTGACCGGTACCATCAGTATTATAACTCTACTCTGGCTGTTGAAGATGAGGACGGAGCATGCATGGAAATGCCCTGAGTGCTATAATGTCAATTTTTGACTTGACTCAACTCAACAACTGGATATTTTTTTAAACTGTCACTAGAACAGGAAAAGAAAACACAAGGCTTGGTGAATATTACTAACTACAGTCTATGGTCTGTGTGTCAGTTCTAGGGCTCTATTTTGGAGGATAAAGAGTATAAACCCACCGCTTCTTAAGAAGCATACAGTAAAAGGTGACCAATTATGGTTCTGCAGGAATTAAAAGTGTTGGGCCAAAAATAGCAGATATCACAGTCTTGCTGTGAACCACAACACCCTTTCGAAGGGAAATCCAGTAGCAGTAGAAGAAGAAAAGATAAAATATTTGTTACTGTCTGCCCTATATAGAGGTTATTGTTCCGCATGATGTGAACTCAAAGAAAATTGGCTCAGAAACTTCAGTACTTTGGCCACATTGAAAATCCAAACCACCTAGAAATAACAGTCCTGGAAGACATAGTTCCTGAAAGAAAAGGCTCCCCATGTCAGTTCTGAGGCCCCATTTTTGGAGAGGGGGGGGGGGGGGGAGAATCAATAGATCCACTGCCCCTAAACAAGTATGTTATAAAAGCAGCCAATTAAGGATTTGTCAGAATCATATAAGTTGGTAAAAAAATGTGCAGATATTGCAGCCTAGCTGTAAACCACAACACAATATGCCAGATGCATTGCTAGGTGCTTTGCTTGCATATCTGAAGGTCTTACATTCAAAACTGCGACAGGGAAGATTTGTACAAAATGAGGTAGTACTCCGGGGTCAACCCAGTCTAGTAGGGTCCTTTACTTGTTATTGTTACTTTTAAACAAACAAGAAAAGAAATAACGATTCTAGAGCTGTACTACTATCTGGAAATAAATACTTCACAGTCACTGCTGACAATAAAGAGACCTCTGAATCAGAATGGCTGCAAACAAAAATGGTTAAAATCTTTTTTTTCTCTTTTCTACAGCGTCCAAAGGCCCATACTGGATTTACTCGCATCACAGCCAATGAACGAGGTCACCTGCTGCCCAATGTTCCTAAAGACAGATCCTCTCCATGGGGCAAATTTGTGGGAACATGGGACATGCCAAAGAAGATTCCAGGTGGGTGTTTTTTTAAACTGTCAAAACTTTTAAAAAATTATGAATAATAATTTTGTCAGTTGATGAAAATTTAACTAATCTAATATTTATTATTCCAATAAGTTTTAATAAAACACTCATGTATATCATCATTTTTATATGCCATGCCTGTAAGCTTAATCGATCATCCCAAATCACATGATCATCAGAATCACGGATCAGAACAGTGTTCTTGCCCCACAACATGCATGTGACGAAGCCATCCGGATATTTTTTTTTTCTTTCAATTCGCTTATCATGAAGTTTTCTTTTCTTGTGTGTGTGTTTTTTTTTTATTCTTATATCATGTCTAAAACATCCTAACTATGTATGTTCTGTAATTAATTATCAGCTTTTATCTGTCTCAGGGAGGACTCATTTACATCCTTCCATTTCAGTTATTCATATCAGAGGTTAGTTAAATCAGCTCTTCTTTCACTACCGGACGGTAGCTGGACGGCTTAGGTCGGCTTAGTGGGAGTTCTCTCCCTTGGCCGCATTGCGAACAAGGAGCGGAAAAGTCACGAATCAAATGACATACTTACCTATCATCATACGGTTGCGTGTAGGGTTGCGTACGGTTGCGTGTAGGGTTGTGTAGTCATCATACGGTTGCGTGAAGGGTTGCGTAGTCATCATACGGTTGCGTGTAGGGTTACCTATCATCATCGTTGTGTGTAGGGATGCGTAGGGTGTCTATCATCATACGGTTGCATGTAGGGTTCCATAGGGTTAGGGTTAGGGGTAGGGTTAGATGTGAAAATTGGGACGTAGAAGTTAAAATACTGGCCAACAGTCTGATGCTTGTGGGAGTGGCGCCACTGGAATTCTGCCACATATGACGGCAATAGTGCGCGGCTGGTGCCCAGTCGGTGGCGAATTGTCCGTGTCAGTAGCATCCACAGTCCGTCGACTGTTTGGGTGGGTATGTGACTGTGCGCGATTATAGGGAACTCCGGCGTCAAAAGTGTCACATCTAACGCTAAACCTAACCCTACCCCTGACCCTACCCCTACCCCTAACCCTGACCCACGGCCACTTTAGATATAAATAGCCCTGAAGATGGGTGTGCCTATCCCTAACCCTGACCCTAATCCCACCCCTAACCCTACCCCTAACCACGCAAATTTATCGGTCGTTAAAGCATACAAATCAGCAAAAACCACACACAAAAAACCCCAGATTTCCCCGCAGCGTAAAAAAAAAACACCCAAGCATTGGCAGCCCTGATGTCGACCTCACTGTCTTCTTTGATTCGTGACTTTTCCGCTCCTTGTTTGCAATGCGGCCAAGGGAGAGAACTCCCACTAAGCCGTCCAGCTACCGTCCGATAGTGAAAGGAGAGCCGTTAAATCAGCTGTTTGCAAGCTGAGTTTACATAATGGTATCTTTCTATTCAGGCACCAGGGTTTTGAATCCAACAGCCAGGTCAGAGGAAGCTTATCTCAAGAACAAAGAAGACAAGGAAAAAAGTGATGTTGTTCTCAGCGGAGCTCTGAAACAACGCCATGTAAAGTTTTATTCACATATTACACAGTTTCTCAATTGATTTCCATGTACCTTTTTCTCATCCTTCATAAATAAATGTCTTCTACTGATGCAGGAGGAGGGGGGGGGGGTTAGACCTAATGACCCTTTAAAAGCATGTTGTAAAAGATTAGTAATTAAAGATTACTAATTAAGGGTTAGCTGTATTCAAACGTGCTGAGTCACGTCCAATTGTCAACCTGCAGGCTGTACTAGTGTTGGCTGAGTGACAGTTTTACGTATCTCTTTACTGTTTTTTTTTAAGAGTATCAGTGGATTCACATCATTATGTGCATCTAATGTCTGTGTATGCTATTGGCTTTGCCAGATTGCAGTCTGTGTAATTTTTTAAACAAGGGACAGCATTAAGTATTCTGTGTAGTCTTTACTGATGTTGTAAGGGAGTAATTAGGGAGCCAGACATTTGCCATAAAGTTGTAGCTATAACTAACATAGGGTTCTCTGATAAGAGAAAGGATAAAAACTTGAGGTCATGTATTTTTGTGAACTTCATTACAAATTCCAAACCACTTAACATTTCCAAACAGTAGTTTTCTGTGTCAGTTCAGGTCAAAATAATGTGGAATTAAAACCTGTTGATGGGCAGATATATCCAGTTCTGAACATGAAGACTCTCATCACAAATATCAGACAGGGACACTTATAGTTTCTTGGTCGTATTATAAGTGTAGAAAAAAATAAACTAGAATATGATGTAATGACTGGAAGCATTTAAGGAAAGAGAAGGGACGGATTTTACTCTGAGAAAATGTTTTTTCAATCTTTCATCGTGGCATGGAAAAATGACAGCACATTAACAGTTACAAGTTGTAGCAAATCTCAAGATGTGGAGAAGCATGATCACCCATGCAGTTGGTAAAGCATGCATCTGTATGTGCATATGCTCATTTAAAGACACACTGGTTTAAAATTTGGTTCTGTGTCATTTATGAATGTTTTCCACCAGGAAGGCTAACCCAGTCAACAAATGCCCGCAGAAGTTGGATGTGCTAGTCGCAAGGAGCAATATTGCAGCCTTGCTGTAAACGGACACAATGCAAATACATCTTTGGATGAATGCAAAAGAAGAAGAAGAATGTTTTCCACTTTGTTTATTTTTTACTTGAATGTGCTTTTTAATTTCTCACTTTAATGTGCAGACTAATATAGAACCTTGTTTATGAATTATCAGACCGTTGATCCACTTCCTGTGAAGATGGATGCCCCCGAGGATCAGCGTCCAGCTGGAATTATTTGTGAACCCATTGGTGGATCTGCAGGACAGCCGACGTGTGAAATGCCTTGCCCTCAGGTGGAGACAGTTCATTATGATGCCAACCAGCCTAGGGCCCTGTCTCGGAAGGAGAGCAGAGAAAGTCTAAAATGGCCAAAGGTATATCTGGTTTAGTACTTTGTTTCTTAGCTGAATGGTTAGAGTGTTCGTTTGTTGACTCATTAGTCAAGTTGCTGATTGACATATTTGCAACCCTGACATATCAAGGTGTTCACTCTGGTGTGAATTAATAGAGCTAGGGATGGCTGATGTTTCAGCTCCATCTTTGAAAATATACTGCATATCCATATAGAGTCTACTCCGGAAATACCCATGTGGGGTGTGCAAGACATGGGTGCTGGCATCTACTGTCACCATATATACTGATGCAACTCTTCTTCAGTGTTGCAGCAGTTAACAGCTTGTATCACAACATCATCATCATCTTGTTGTGCCTCTATATATAACATAGGGCTTACAGAACCTTCTATCCTATGCATATGTTTCAGTATTATAGGTGGGATGCAATCTAGCACCTTTGATCTCTCTCTTTAGCATTCACCTTTGGGTTTCTTCTGGATGTCCTTGTTTCCCCAGTCCTTTTATTTCCCATTTAAGGGCTTATAGCTGTTGATACCAGTGGTTGTGCAAATATTCCTCTTATTTAATTTTTTTCTTTTAAATGTATCCAATTTAGTGTTCCTTATGTGGGTGCTGTGGTCCCATTTTGGAGGTAAAAAGAATAGACCAGCTGCCTCACTAACAAGTATGTAATAAAAGGTAACTAAATAGGGGTTTTCCCTTCAAAGTCAGAGATCTTCTGCCTGAGTGACGAGGACCCAACAGTCTGCTTACAAATAAACCAGATTTGTAAAATGGGTGTGCATGCAACAATTAGGTTCTTCTCCTTCTTCTTTGCATTCACTGGCTGTTTCCCCACCCTCACTGTGGTCAGGGGTCCTAATATAACCTAATGGTCGAATGAAGTTTCTGAAACCTGCATATGTGGGATTCTCATCCAAATGGTGGCACTTTGTGTCACCAGGTATTGTTAATTGCTCATTGTGCATTCCTGGTGGGGTTGAATGTCACTCACTCACTCCCTGGCTGTAAACTCCAGCAGAAAGTTTTGGTTGTTCATCCACCTCTGGACCTTAGTTTTGTTCCAGAACCAGAGTGTTGCGCTACATCTATTTAACAGATCTGATATATTTGTATGCAGACCGTTGGTTGCTTGGTTCTCGGACAGAGGCACGCTGACTTTGATGGAAGCCCCTAATTAGTTGATTCTTACAACATGCTTGTTGGGGAGGCAGTAAACTGAATGTTTTGTGACCTGAAAAAAAATCTTCATGTGTGTGTGTGTGTGTGTGCATGTGTGTGTATGTGAGAGACAGAGAGAGATGGATGGAGAAGATATGAAGAAAGAAGACGCAAGGAGAGAGAGAAGACAGAGAGATAGATGGAGAAAACAGACACTAATAGAGAAGTCAGAAATTGAAGACAGAGAGACACATAGTGAATACAAAGAGAGAGAGAGAGATGATGAGAGAAAATAGATGGATAGAAAAAACAGAGAGATATTGATAGAGAGAATATGAAGATGCGAGAGAGAGAGTGAGAGAGAATGTTAAACATCACAGTAAAAAAAAAATGAGAAACAACATTTAAAAAAGTATGATCCCCATGTGGGTTCTGGGGCCCTGTTATAGGGACACAAGAATAAACCAGACGCCTACCCAAAAGCATGTCATAAGAGTCAGCTAACTGGCAGCTTCCTTCAAAGTCGGAGTCCATCTGCCTGAGAGGCAAGGAACCAGCAGTCTGCATACAAATGAGCCAGATCTGTAAAACGGATGCACAAGCAACACTCAGGTTCTGGAACAGGGCTGCATTCCAGAAGTGGATAAACAACCAGAACTTTCTGCCAGAGCTTACAGTTGGTAAACGCAAAGAAGAAGAAGAAAAAGTATGAAATGAAAGCACAGCCAGTCCGTTGTTTCATTTACTACAAGTATACTCTGTTTGGCTTACTGTAGGCAAAAACTCCAGATTGCAGATCACCAGTGAATTATTCCCCCTTGCCTAAGCCTATGACAACATTCTATGCCAACAGCCCAGGTATCCAAGGAGACCATCAGCATTGTCGCACTGCAGTACCAGAGAACTGAAGAAGGTCCAGAAACTGGGGCAACTATGCCCTCTTCTCATTCTTTTCATCTTCTCATCATCTTTCATTCTTTTTCATCTCAGCAAACAGATACCATTTTTTTCTGTCACTTTCTTTGATTAATATAAGATAATTAAAAATAAAAATATTAAGCAAGTTTTTTTTTTAAAGGTTTTTAGCTGAAGAGAACAGTGAAGGTAGGGAAAAGGAACTTTTCTTTGCCAGTTCCATATAGGGCACTTGATGCAAGACTCATATTTTTGTAGACCAATCATCATTTGCTTGGTTAGCTTCATTCTGGCCACATTTATTTCCTGGGCCATTCTTCTTCTGCCTTTTATCCCCTAGTGGAGCATAGGCCCTCAACCAACTCATGCTAAATTGGCAGACTATATTCTAACACAAGCATAACGAATTCACATTTTATATTATAAGTATATGTATTAGTAGGTATTACACTTGCAAAGATCCAACCTACTGCAATCGAAACCCACTGCTGGCTGCATGGATTTTTATCATGGTATGCGGCGTCACAGGTCGACCCAGCTTAAAATGGGTACCAAAATGGCTGTCCTGGGAAATTTAAGACGGGCGGCATAATGCTGACCACATTACCCACCTAGTGCCGATGGTTTGTAAAAATATGGGCGCTCTTCCCATATACCAGATATGCCTAAAGGCGTGAAAAGGGATCTCTACTTTACTTGCTTTACACTTGTAAAGATAGGAAAAAATTGAGTAACAAACCATTATCAGGTCTTGGCGCATCAGGTCTATAGGTCATTCATTCATTTGTCCTGTTGTGCTTTTATTGGTTGCAATAGTCAATTTCTTCATTCTGTTCTGTCCTGTGCAATCACTTCAATGTCATGGATGGAATTCAGTCCAGCATGTCTGGCTTCTCTCTTCAGTGTTTACTTTGTGGTTTCTCTTAGACATCCTTGTTTCCTCAGTCCCTCTACTTCAGGTATATAGTTCTAGACCTTCATATCAAGCGCCACAATGGATTGGGGAAAAAAAACTATAGCAGAAGGCATGATACCAGGAAGGAGGAACAGGGGCCGACCGACACGAAGATGGGTACAGGATATAAGTGACTCCTTGAGTATGAAAGTACATGAGGTTGGAGAGCTGGCGAGAGACACTGAGTTTCTTTCAGGCAGATGGTGATGAAAGTGACATTCTGCAAAGGACCTGGTACATGATGAGTTCTAGACCAATATTTTTGGCCACCTTTAAATACCAGAAAATTACCTGTTACCAATTTAGGGCTATGTCAACCCGGGAGCCAGGGTCAATTCTGAAAAAATCCACCTCGATGTAGATTCAAACCAAGACCTACAGGCTAGCAAGTGAGTGTCTAGCCCCGGTGCTACCATGGCTCTTGAAAGAATAAATCATTATTCAATGAAAGTGTAGTTATGTCACTTTGTCTTATGTGAACTAAGGTTACTTCTCTTAGCTTTAGCACTTTAGTTGTCCATGTAGGATCGAACTGAAGACCTTTAGGCCAGCAGCTGAGTGTCTAACCTCTCTATGTTATTGTGGCTTCCTACTGGTACTATAAAGTGGCATCATTATACCTGGCATTGCCACTGATGACCTGTTATTAGCAGATGTTAAGTTTGGATGTCTGAATAATGTAGTTCATTGATGTTTAGGTGCCCTTACTTTTTAGCATCTTATTTCAGTTTCCCAGTGTATTCTGCCATTCTGTGTAATCAGGATTTAGAAATGGTAACATCTAAAGCTACATACGTTTTGCAAAACCTAACTTCTGAATATTTATCTCAACCAACCAACTTTTTTGACTTTACACAAAAGTTTAGAGGAAAGATTATGACATTTCTGTTAAAATCCATGAATTTGATTGAGCTGGTCACTTTTGATACTGTTTGTACATGAAAATGTGGTGTTTACAGTTGCCAAATAAATATTCATGGTTTTTATTTTAAAAAAAACTGCTTTGTTTTTTACAGAAAAATTGGTCCCTACAAAGTTTACCATTTTTGTGTAGTTCATGAAACCTGTCTATATAAAATGAATTTAGAATGTTGCTATGGATTGTTTTTGTTGCTTTTAAGAACTTTGTTGTGTCAGGTTAGTTACTATTCTGCAGATCTTCTTTTATCTTATTTCTTCTTTTGTCAGTATCTGTATCAAAGTTTACAGATGGTAGGCAGTGGAGCCAGGGCTGATAGGTATACAGTGAGGTTGTGAAATATTAGATGTTGGTGTCTTCTTTTTCTTTGTATTCACAGGCTGTAAACTCTGGTGGGAAGTTCTGGTTCTTAAGTTCTAGACTTAAAGTCTTACTCCAGAACCTGACTGTTGCATTCACATTCATTTTACAGATCTGACTTATATGTAGGCAGACCATTGGTTCTTGCCTTTTAAGAAGTCGCACTCTGACTTCATAGAAAACCCCCAGTTAGTCTATTCTTACAACATGCTTGTTGGGGATGCATTTGGTTTGTTTTTGTTTTCCCAACTATGGGCCCTATAACACACTTGGGTAGATTTCTCCTTTAGGTCTCTCTTTACCTCTTGATTTTTCCATTTTTATGCTGTCTGCTCTCCCCGCCAGACATGTTGGGTTCATTCTTACTAACTGGTAAAACTTTGTTTCTCAGTGGGTATAACTTATGAAGTCAGGTCTAGGGTGAATGATTGGCCGTTCACTCATGGGTCTTTACCTTTGAGACGTGTTAGTTTCCCTGGGGCCCGACTTCGTGAGTTGTTCCTCTCAGTAAATTTACCAATGAGTATTTTTCCAGTAATTCTAACCTCTTCAATGTTCAAACAGTCTTATCAACTTGGATCAGGAACAGTACAATGATGGTTGTTAGTCAAAAAATAAAAATATGTATGTCACTATTGAGATTTTTAAAAGTTACACATTGAAACATTTCTCTCCATGTGGAATAGACTCCTGCCTCCCCAAAAAGCATGTTGAAGGAATCGACTAACTGGGGGCTGCCTTTAAAGTCGGAATGCATCTGCACGAGCAGCAATGAACAACAACTACACACAAATAAGCCAGTAAAGCAGAGGATGTATATGCAAAACTCAAGTGCTGGCACAAAGCCAAAGTCCAAATGGACAAACAGCCAGGATTTTCTGCCTGAGCTTACAGCCAGTGAACAAAGAAGAAGACGAAGATTTCACTTTTTAAGAATACAAGACAAATGTTTCTTTTATCCCATTGAAAAAATAACAGAGCATTTATTATTAAATTGTGTTAACATGACATGTGACATCCAGTTGGTAATTTGTGCTAGAGCATAGCAAGGGCATGTGACATTTTAATGTTACTATAAATGAGTCAATCAATAAAAACAAAAACAGAAATGATCAGCTTTACAAAAACACAGTCATTTGAGACAGAAATAGCTAGAAAATCTTCTTCAAAAGGAATCTGATTTAATATTTTTGTGACTTTAGTCCAGGAGTTAGGATATCTTAGCTACCAATTATACACCAAGTTGAGTGTCATTCTGATAACATTACAGAGGTTTGAAATCCCTACCCAGGAGATACCCAGATTGAAACAATTACCCCAACAAAAATATATTTACAACATTAGGTGATTCTTGCATACACAAGATGTTGAGATTCTCCTTGTCTATGATCTATGGGATGAGACCGGAGCACTTACATTTACAATTAACTTGATCCAGCGAGCCCCACTGCTCAGATCCCGAAAGTCTCTCTTCCAGCAAAATAGCAAACAATTTATAACATCTTCAACCCCCCTTTAGGATATCGCTGCCAAACATGGACAATGAATAGGGCACCAGAACAAAAAATAATTACCAGTGAATTGAAATCCGTAAAGTCATTGGCAATTTAAAAAAAAAAAAAAAAGAGGGTTACAAATACCAGCATTAGAGATAAAGTGGGAATAATACAGTGTCTGAATTATACTGACAATGAAATGGTTACCATCTAATGAGAATGCAGCCAGACAGAACTGCATATTGGATTTTTTACAGCAGAACATCTGGGAGAAAGGCAAGGTGATGATCAAGAAATGGATGGATAAAAAGTGAGGTTTTAAACAAATTCATCAACAAAGCCACCTGAGAATGTACAGACAAATACATAAAAGCATAACATGTGGCTACAACCTGGTATTAGTGAGATGAAAAAGAAGAAGAAGAAAGTGTGATTACTTACAAACAAACAAAATAAATGTAAAAACAATGAAAGACACAAACAACAATGAAATCAGTAGATCAGTAAAAATAAATGAATATGGTTTGATTTTCGAGACAGTTAAATGTGAGATCAATTGTTTAGAATGGATTGATGGAACTTGATGTCTTCTACTGGGGCCTGGGTAGTTCATAGTCTGGTGGAGTGATGCTTTTGCGGCGGTTGCCATAGAATTTGGTTGTGACATTGACTGTGTTGGTCATTGTTAAATTCCTGTCCTCCTCTGAACTTAATAGAGGATTGACTTCTGCAATGTCCAGAACTGATAGGCGACCTACGGTAATACAAACAAATTGTGTTGTTATTTTAAATGTGCTAGTGAATCTTAGTAATGAATGCACAAAAGTTAGTCTCACATTTAAACATATGTACTAGTCTTAAAACAATATCTTCTTCTTATAGTCCATGCCATGTGGCGTTGGTAGTCATGTTATTAACATCCTTCTGTCTCATTTATTTTTTGTCATTTCTGACACACATGATCTTCCATACCATGATGTCAAACTTTCCAGCATATTCTCTCTGTCTCCCTCTGCCACTTTTCTCCTCCAACTTCCTTACTGTCATGACATACTCCAGTTTTCTCTTTCTTGTGACATGATCAAAGAATATAGACTGTCTCATTCTGATGTGGGCAATCAGTTCTCTTTTAAAAACATCACATAGATTAAAACTTTAACAATTTAGATTAAAAAATTAACAATTTCAGTAATCTTAGGACGGTGAAGACTGAAAGACAAGGGCTTTCACTGGCTAAAACCTACAAGCTTCATTTTGTGGGTAGCCTTTTCACATCTGAGAACCACAGTAGTGTAGTAGCTAGACACTCACCTGCCAGAATGAAGGTCTTGAGTTTGACTCCACACAGAAAACTAAAATTTAACCCTTGACTCCCAGGTAAACCCAGCATAAAATAAGTACCAGGAAATGTTCAGAGAAGTAAAGGTAGCTGCCATGATGTTGACCACATTGCCCATCTATAAAGTATGAGTAGCATCATATGCCTGGTTTACTTTTACTGTCCATATACTGTGTTCTCAGTCTGGCTAATATGCCAGGTATTGCCTTGAATGACAAAATTACACAACTGTCCATATCATTGTTTGCAATATAGTGGTCCAAGCAGCACTAGGGTCCATGAAACCAAGGTAAAGGGTCCATGATATATAACTTACAGACACAAAACGTCAGCTTTAAAATGCAGTCCTTTTATGATTCTAAAATTTATAAATTATAATTTTCTTTTTCTTTGGGTTCTGGTTGTTCATCTGTTTCTGGACTTTGGTCATGGATCCACAGCATGAGTTTTGTAAGCACATCCATCATACAGATCTAGATTCTTTGTATGCAGGCTGTTGATTCTTCTCCTCTCAGGTAGATGCACTGCGATTTTGAAAGAAAGGATCTTGTCTATGTTTGCAGTCTTCTTACTAGCAATCTGTTTCTAGGATGTCCCCAAGATGTCCATAAAGAGGTATACATAGGTCTTGACCAATATGAAACCCAGGTTTGGTGCACCATCAAATGATGTTCATCACTTCTGCATCCCACTGTCTATATCAACGGAATGGTTTAATTTGATTTGATTCAAGAACCAACAACACAGCACTAGGGGCATTCCCCTAAGTGCTCCGTCTCATCTTTAGCAGCCAGAAAAAAGTTCTGATACTAATGCTGCCAGTAGCATTCCATCTTGCCTTTTCTCTGAGACTCGAGCATCTGCAAAAAACCTCTCGTCACTCCCCCCTGCATCAATCTCACTAGACTGTGGTGAGGATATCAACAGAATGAAACTGTATAGTCAACCAATATACAGACTGAGGCAGAAGTAACTTACATGTTTACAAACACAAAATCAGCAAATCAGCCATGAGTACAAAATATGTGGATTAGCACCTGAGACAACAGATCATGTCTTCCAAGACTGTCTCAAAACAACATATCAAGGCAAAACTTTTGGACAAGAGAAACATCGGTGCAAGCCAAACTTTACAGGTCACTGACTGAATTACAACAGAGAGTGAAGTTCATACTAGAGACAACACTGCAGATATAAATAATCTATTTCAAGTGAATGAAAGAAGAACAACAACAAGAAAGCACACAAAAATAAACCTACCTGTGATAGCGATCTCCTCTGCCAGGTAGCAGCAGTCCTTCAGTGACAAGCCTCCAGGAACTGTCAATGCGTTAGTAGAGAAGTTAATTTTAACACAGGAAAAAGATTTTACAATCTGCATTCTATTGAAAACAAAGGAGTCTTATCACCCTTTTGGTGCATTGAAACCAGATGTGTGATGTGGTCAACACCCTCCCAGCTGCCTTTACTTCCCAGGACATTACCTAGTACCCATTCAGGCTACCTCAACCTAGATGCCACAGTCAAATCTTGACAGAAATTTTTTTTTTTTAAAGATTTCTTCTTCTGTGTTCATCCAAAGACTTAAAGACATTGTACCTGTATACAACATGGCTGCAATATTTGTGTCTTTTGGCCGAGATATCTAACTTCTGCAGGCATTTATTGCCGGGTTAGCCTTACCAGCAACAAAGGATTTGAACCTAAGACCTTCTGACCATTAGGTGAGCTTCTAACTTTCAAAATACTGCAGCTCCAGTTGCATTCTTTACTGGGTATTAATTTGTTTCTGAGGATATATACAGGTGTATATTTTTCTGGTTTTCATTCAAACTGAACAAGACCCTTAACCAACTAACAACAAGTCCTTTGCAGGCTTGTTCATGGTTGAAAGTTGAGTTGAGTTAAGAACTGACATCACAGCACTCAGGGCATCTGCATAAGTGCTCCATCCCCATCTTCAGCAGCCAATGAAGAGTTCAAATTCTAATGTTTCCAGTAGTGGTTTGATTTTGTATCCTTCAGTGTATAGCATCACATAGATCCCCTGGTCGCTCCTAGCTGCCCTATGCTTTCCTGGCAGAAAAGCGCTAAAAATACACTCAAAACTGCTCTCAGCTTTCTTGGCATCAAACAGCGACATGGGAGGCTGCTGTACAGGACCATTTTGGATGGTGCATATCCCACAGGCATGGTTCATCAGCCTGCTAGGCAGCAAAGGTAGCACAGGCAGAGAAGCAGAGGCAGACTAGAAAGAACTGTATCGCTAATCCCACACCTACTGCAGCCTCCACCTGTTGTCCACACTGCTCAAGAATGTTCTGGGCTTATATTGGACTAGTCAGCCACCTCTGTATTCATAATCATTGATCATTGCTACTTTGGATGAAATGTGGACTCCATCACCCGTAAGGGCTGAACAACATGCTTTCTGGACCATAATGATCAATTGGTGTCTCTGCATTGTTCTATTGCTCCCAAAAAGCTGTGACCACATTCAGTTTGTCATGCATCAATTCACCACCCAGTGGTGCAAAACTAGTCAATCTTCTGCCTCTTCATTATCCAGCATACCTTATTGAAAGTACTAAATACAATATAAAATGTGACTAGAAAGCTCAATGGAGGAAAGGAAAAAACACACACAAATATAACCAAATATTTTGACAAAAATCTTTATCAACTGAATGTTCTAACTACAAAGCATAGATCAAAGCACTGGATCAGGCTGCCGAAATGAAACAATACCACTTTTGACTACTACCAAGTAGTCAACGTTACAGATACGCTATCTGTGTTACAAGCCCTCTAGAATGGTTAAAATCTTCAGCTTAGAAGTTGCCAAAAAAAATGTTTGGCTATCCTCCGAATAACGGGCACATATTATGGCGGCCGCAAAAACACCGTAACAGGGCCTCAGTCACAAGTCAACCGCCCACTTCCGGCGACTTAATTTGTGGACTTCCGGCGACTACCGCCACGAGTATCTCCCACGCCGCTACGTGGATTGGGGCTAAACTAGATGGCTGGGACTCACGAGCAGCAGTTTTCACATCTTCTGCAGCTTTGCTCGTTAGTCCCAGCCATCTAGTTTAGCCCCAATCCATGCCGCTATGTACAGCGTGGGAGATCCTCTCGGCGGTGGCAGTACTCTCAGCGATGGCAGTAGTCGCTGGAAGTCCGCAAATTAAGTCGCCAGAAGTCCGCAATTTTCATGTGACTGAGGCTCTGTTTTTGGTCGCCATAATATGTGCCCGCTTTTTGGAGGATAGCCGAAGGTTCTGTACTCTAGTGGGTGCTTTCCCACTGTGGTATACTAGAAAATGAAACCTGCAGATAAACTAGCTAAGAAAGGATAAGAAAAAGGACCATTTATTTCTGGTAAGTTGTCACAACACATTGGAAGTACGGCACACATGTACATATTAACGATGATGAGCAATGGCTTCAGTGACCATCAGTAATTATTTCTATCCTTTCTTACATTTCCATCATCATTTGCCATCCATCATTTTGTTATTTTATTCTTCACGCTCATCACCAAAACATTCCTGTGCAACATATTTTCACTACTCAGGTCTAACATTCTGACATGCATTACTCGCTTTAAATATTCAATCGGTTTTATCCAGTGTAACCTTTATCAAGATAATTACAACATACCAGGTGTCCCTGTGGCTGGTGTCAGAGCTGGGTCCATGCCATCCACATCAAAGCTGACATGTATGGGACGAGTTCCACTGCACAGAACAAATGTTTATTCCCTTTATTCATTTTATAACATAAGATCATTTTTATTGAGATAAATGTATAATTCAAATAATTATTTCTATTCCAACATAAAGACAAACTTTGTCAGCTATGTTTTGCATAAATGTAATGAGATTATATCTTCTTCTTCTTTGCCTCAAGGGAAAGTTCTTGTTGTTCGTTCACCACTGAACTTTAGACTTGTTCCAGAACTAAGATGATCTTACATCCAATTTTCACTGGGACAGTCCTGTTTTTTTTTTTTTGGGTGTGTCTCAGCCAGCCTGTCAGTACTCCAGAAAAAACTCTTACAATATGCTTTTTTGGGGAGCTAGTTGGTCTGTTCTTGTTTTCCCCATAATGAGAACACACATGGGGATAATGCTATACTAATCATTACCTTCATAGATTTGTGAGACAGTGTGCTTTATCTACAAAATAGTTAACTAATTAAAAAAAAAAATTATTATTAGTATTTCACCTTGGATCAATCTGACTGAGTGATCGTTCAATAAGTTCTTTGACTCCATACTTTTCCACATCTTCCATATAGTGAGCAAGGATGCCAAACTTTTCAATAAACACCCTGAAATTTGAATAAAAACAGTCTAATGTTGTAATACACTTTATCATTATTTATAAAGTATTTTTACATTTACATTGATAACAGTATCGTATAACAGCATAATGTTGTTGTTGTTGTTGCCATTTTTTGACTTTCCAGATGATAGTGTTAAGTTGTGCAATGGGGAGGCATCAGAATCACAGCCCTGGGCAATGGCAAGTGTGACTAGCAAGACCCACCCATATTAGGAAAATACCACAATTAGAGAATGGGATATTAATACCGTTGTTGACATCACATATATTTAATTTTCCTATTCTCAGATGCTCTGATACTTGCAACCATTGTTTTTTCTTTTCTCCCATTCTATTCCTGATTTTTCCTCCTCCATGCAACATGGACCTTGGTTTTTTGTTCCAGCAAATCTACCTCAGTATACCTTTTATTCATGTCCTGATTGAGCACATCTTTATACTGTAGTAGAGGCCGGCCTCGACATCATCTACTAATCTGTCATTTCTCATAGACTATTTCCTTAGGGACTCTACTATTATCACTTCTCCGCATCCGATCCGGCCACCTGAGCCTTCAGAGACTAATTGAGCTAACAGTGTAGTGAATATCTAAAGATCTCAACCAATAGACAGTAAGTTACTTTGTACCCATAAGATTTGCCAGTATATACTACTTTATATTGTTTAACAGGGTGTCTGAGATCTGCACTGTTTGATTTATATTGTAGATTAGTAAATAAAATCACTGAGTGTTCTCTTTCACAGGTAATTTAAATTTTTTTTAAAGCATTGTATAACAGAACAATACGTATCTATCTGTATCCTCTTTATATTATCATGAACACATAAGGCATTTATGAGTAATTTTCATACCCTGTCTGCAGTTTTTCTGCCTATGGTACATTCTTTCATTTCCCCTTACCTCTACTGCCCTTCTCTAGTTTCCTTAGATCATCCAGGTCTTCTATTGTCATCTGCTGTCCATTAGAGAGCTGTTCTTACCAAGGTGTCCAACTACACGCAGAGATCCAAGTATGTCATCAACTATCCATTGTGCTACCACGGCTCCCAGAATGAAATCATTTTTTTTTTTTTTGTGCACCTGTCATTATACTGGTAACAATGATTATAATGCTAACAATAATAAATGTTATAATGATGATCAAACGGATTGAGGGAACAAGGATGTCAAAGAGAAGGTTTACGTAAGCCAGGGATGTTAAACCGGATTCAATTCATAATTTTAAAAAAAATTGCACAGGATAAATTGGAATGGGAAATAGTCTGTGAGCCTTGTGTGACCTTTAAACAGCACCAGAACAGGAGGGTCCATGATTATGTTTGTGCCATCTTCACAGTGAAGGCTAGCTACCTTTCACCACTGTCTTTTTGGAAAATTATGTGTGAGGCCCCAATCTCTTTCATTTTTTTAACTCACATACCACAGTTGGTTTTTTACCTCACTATGTGAACTGAATCCCAGTACTTGAGGATCATAAAAATGTTAAATGCATTCACTAACCTTTAAGCCAGAGAGCCACAGAAATGATGAGGATGATGATAACGACAACAGTGATAACAACAATCTAATTATAAGGATGGTCGACTTACTTTTCAGAAGGATCAACATCACGAAGTCCTATGTACACAATATCTCTAACCGATATACTGAAAGCAAACAACAAGCAACACAGTTATAAAGAGTGTATGAGTAGATAATCCAGAATTCATTTTAGTGGCCTCAGAGCTGAAAATGACCCAGTCTAGCAAAACAAAAACAAAAGGTGTTTAGATGCCCTGAGTGCTGTGATGTCAATTCTTGACTCAATTCAACTTTCAGCCACTAACTAGCCTGCAAAAGGACTTATTTTTAGTTGGTTGAAGACCTTGTTCAGTTTTAATGAAAACCTTTGTTATCAACTTATCTGCCACTTTGCCTGCCTAGTTCTGTAAACTGTTCTCTAGTTGAAAGCAGAGGGATAATTTTGCAAATTTATTTCTTATTTGATGACTGAACCACATTATTCGGCTTTCCTAAGTAATCTTCTGCCTCTTGTGCACTCTTCTTCTTCTACTTTTTGCCTTTAAATAGACAGTTGGTATATTGTGTCCTGATTTACATGTAGCTGATAAAATGTGTTCTTTTCAGGCCACTCAATTTGTTTCCAGCAAATTCTTAATTAGTCCCCTTTTATTATATGCTTGTTAAGAAGCATGTTTTTTTTCCTGCCACAGAATGGGCCCCATAACCTATATGGAAAGATGAGTTGACATAACTACATTATTCTCTGTCTCTCAATATAACCTCCTTATTCTGCATTCCCCAGCTCTGAACTTCAGCATCAAGTCATGGCTGTTCATCCAAACCAGGACTTGGCTCTTGTTCTATGACTTGAGTTTTGTGTGTACATGAGTTTTACAGATCTGGCTTAATGTATGCAGACTACTGGTTCCTTCCTTAAAACATTCTCAAACCAATGGCAACATTGATCCTATATGTGTTTGCCAGGCCCCTGTTAAGGAATTCACTGAGGTGTAAATAATGTTTTGACATGTATGAGTTCTAGAACTGGTGCACCAACTCCTATGTTGATACAGATCTGCATCCTTCTATGTAATCAAAGCATGGCGTTACATAAACAGCATCTTGTTTTGGAAACTGAAATATTTTAGCCATATGCACTTATGCCACTGCTGCTTGAAACAAAAAAGTAGCAGAAGTCATGGTACCAGAAAGAAGAGCAGGGGTTAACTAGCACAAAGATGGACACACGACATAAGTGACACCTTGAGTAGGAAATGGCTAGAGGCAGGAGAGCTAGTGAGAGTCCTATTTATTTTTCAGGCAGACTATAATAAGAGTGATGTTCTGTAAAGGACCTGCTACCTCAATCAATCCATATTTTTTTAGGTCTTCCACTCGCTCTATACCCGTTGTAATGTTATAGTATGGCCCGCTGAGGCGGATAGTACCAGGGCATTCTTGTTAGGTGTCCAAACCACTTCATTTGTTGTTCTTTGATGACCTGTAAAACTGGCTTTATTCCTAGCATTTGTCTGATTTCGTGATTTCGTATTCTGTGTTTCCTTGAAACTCCTGCAGCTCTTCTAAGGCATTTCATCTCTGTTATCACAATTTTACATTCATTGGAGGAGGTGGGTATCCACATTTGGCACTGATAGCATAGTATTGGTCAAAAAATAGTTCTGATAAGATTCACTTTAGTACTCACAGGTATCTGCTTGTGTGTCAACAGAGAAGATAGAGGGGAACTACAGACTAGAAAGTGACAGGAAGGAAACAATCATATTTAAGCTTTGGACAGGATACTGCAGGCTTAGAGAGCAACTATACAAGATAATCTGCCACCTGTGACTGTGGGGTGGACACACTTCAGAATATGTTCTGCAGGATTACCCCAACTACTACCAGGGGGAGCTACACTGTATGACAAGCTGTGAAGGAACTGGTGATGACCTTAGACACACTGCTCTCCTTGTGATCCAGGCAAAACCAAATGTTTAGCTGACCTTGAAGGCAAAAGGAAGAATACTAACAATGGATCCTTACTCACCCATGCCTACAGATTACAATACACCATTTTAGATTAATACACCAGGCTGGTGTAGCCATTACAGATGCCCCAGTTATAACTGTTATTTTTTTTTTTTTTTTTTACAGCAGATAGGAATCTAGGACTGAACCTGTTGGTTAGCTATCCAAATTAAAAATTTTTAATTTCAGGGTTTCAAACCTTCAGTTACAGTCCAGTGTTAAAAACAGAAGGAGGGAAGGAAGAATACCAACTGGCAACTTACCAAGGCTTACACCAATCAAATTCTGGCATGTCTGGCATATACTCCTGTAGCTCCTTGGCCAGGAATGCCAAAGGCATCCCATGAATGTTTCTACTGATTGATGTTAGAGGTGTGTTAATATCTGCATGAGCATCGACCCAGACAACAACCAGATTAGGTTCCACCTGGGCATGTCCATGAATTGAGCCAATAGCCATGCTGTGATCTCCACCAAGTGTCAGCACTGACTGGTTGGTTTTCAAAATTCTTGAAATGGCATCTGACAGCTGTGGAGTTTAGAATAACACATGTTTTTACAAACAGAAGCTTCTTCTTCTTCTTCTGCACTCACTCCTAAAAGGTATTAAGCATGATGTGTTGTGGTTTACAGTTAGGCTGTGACATCTGCACCTCAAACATCTAATTTCAGGTAACTTCCTAATTAGTCACTTTTTACATGCTTGATAGTGGAGCAGTGGGTCTATCTCCGCCCCCCCCCCCCCCCCCCACAGGACCCTGGAACCCATAAAGTGAAGAAATAGAAACAAATACTTGTGCTTTCCTTTCATCGTCAAGTAAAAATCAGGACATGATGATGACTATGAATATGACTGTTGATGTCTGCACATACACAAACAGACTGAATGGTCAGGCATCATAACTATTACACATGCTAGAGTCTAATAGACAATACAGACAGAATAATACTGTGTTTTTCTTTCATTAGCTTTTTCCAAGCATTGGTTATTTAGGTAATGGTAGACTATATAGACAGACCGAAACATGAATCCAATTTATCAGCACTGTCATATAACCTGTTATCCCAATCTTGCATCATTTGGCTATACCAGAAGAGATTAATTTTTCACCCCAAACAATGCATGACTTGTTACTGACCAATCCCTACATGTGTCAAACATCATACAAAGTGGTTTCTTATATTCAAGTTTTGGTCAAGGCATACTAAACAAATCTGGCAACCACAGGGGTATCTTTCACTTATGTTTCATAGACTTTATATGGCAATATATAAGAGAAAAAATAATGAATGTTGTACACAGATCAAAGACCAAACAAGTTAAAACACAAATTATAAATGCAAGCTTTCTTCCAACTTCAGGTTACCACTGTCAGAAGAATATAAGAAAAGACAACTGTGAAATGAGATATTTGAGAAACACTGCGAACAAAAAAACCAAAAAAAAAAAAAAAAAAAAAGAATAGATCATGCCAGAAATTAAAGGATTAGAAGAACAGTTGGAACAAAAGCTATCATTAAATTTATTCTAAAGTCAAGACTCAAATGATTCAGCCACCAAGTGAGAATGAATTCAACAATTTCAGCAGTAAGAGCGTTAAACATTGTACTGGAAAGACCAAGAGACAAAGGGAAACCTAGAAGAAGATGGACTGAAGGATTTATCGATGACTTAAGACTTCACAATACCACAGCATATCCAACAACCAAGCACACTCTGTCTCCGCTTTCTATCATCCATTAAAATATGACACCTAGAGGCACAAAGCAAATACTGACGCAAAAATAAAAAAATAAAAAAAACATTAGTTGCTTTGACAGTCAAAGGTTTTCACATTATGTTTCAGAAGACTCCAAGCTTTTCCTAACTTGTTTGTTTACATATCCAGATTCACTACTTTACAATTTCTTCAAAGTCGGAGTGCATTTACCTAAGAGGTGAGGAACAAGTCTACATACAAATAAGCCACAGCTGTAAAACTGGTGTGTATGCAGAACCCAAGACCTTGAACACGACCAAAGCCCAGAAGTGGACGAACAACCAGAACTTTCTGCCAGAGTTTACAGCTGTTAAATGTTAAGAGGGAGAAGAAGACTATTTTAAATAAGAACTTTTAGATAACTTCAATACTTTGGCTCTGTAGGAATTCCCAAGACTCATTGTGGGGGAAAGGATACACCCATCTCCCCATCCCTGAACATAGCCTGTTGTAAAAGGTGACTAAAGAGGGGTTTTCTTAAAGTCAAAGTGCATCTGCCTGAGATGCCAGGAACCAACAATCTGCATACAAGTGAGCTCAATCTGTAAAATGGATGAACACTAAAAACTCAATTGTGGAACAGATCGAAGTCCTGAAGAAGATGAAAACCTAAATCTTTCCACCAAAGTTTACAGAGTAGAACACATACACACACAAAAAGAAGAAAAAGAAACAGACACATTAACTTGACAATAAAGAAATAGATATAGAAAAGAAGAGAATATTAAACCTTCTTGTTTGCTGTGCCCACAGATTTTGGGTTTCTGATGTCTGTGTTGGGTTCATCTACAGGCAGAGATTCAAGGTTCACATCCCCATGGTCCACTACCGTGTTACCTGAAGAAAATATGGAGCCTAAATGTTGACAGGTTCAATGATAAATCCTTGTTCTTACATATTCATAGTGAGAATAACAGGCACAGTGGCTCTAAATTTGACATCCACCTCTAATTTAAGATGATCTGGTAATCACAGTTTCAGCGCCATCATTTTAGTAAAATTGTGTGGACAGAATTTACAGGCATCTATCAGTGTCTCCAAGAACAATTCCTGGTACCAGTTTGTAGTTTCTCCTTAACATACATCAATTTAAAACAACAAAAAATTAAAATAAACATCACCTTCTTTCATCTTTTCCATCCAATATGGATTTTTGAGTGCATGGCGTGACACTGTGAGCTAAGGGTGTTTTTCGTTGGCACAGGAGCGGAGCAACTATGGGGTGACCCGTTTTCTATGAAGCTGAAACTAGGATTACCAGATTACCAGATTTTATGGGTCTTAATTTACGGTGACTTAAAAAATACTTCTTGCCTTTCCTTTTTAATTAGTTATAGTCAATAGTCAGTAGTCAAGATTTTAACTTCACTGAAAATGGGTAACCTCCTAATTGCTCTGTTTCTGTGTCAGTGGAAATCAGACAAAATGTTAATGACTGTCCCATTTAAAAACTAGTGGAAAAACAATCAGTCCTGGCAAAATCCTCTATTCTTTCAATATCTTTCATCATCTCTGGCTTTATTCTGAACAATGTTTACTAGTTGTAAATTTGAATAATGCAAACATAAACAACAAATTACACAATTTATTGCCTGCAAATTTAATTATATCTCAGCTGCCTTACCACAGAGTTGCATCAACATTTTATAAAGCTCAAAAATAAATCATTTTTCAGTTTGATAAACACACTAAACATTGTGATTTTTTTTATTTTGGTGAAAACTGAATATTTTACAACAAACTTGTTAAGCAGCATTGGGAATATTTCTTCCTCATGCCCCCCCCCCCCCACACACACACACACACACAAAAACGGGACTGGGAACTTACTTGGGGAGTATTTAAGATGATGAAGGTGATAGTTTCTTCTTCTTCTTCAGCATTCATTCTGAGCTTTTGAGGTTGATTGCTGCAGATATCACCCGTCTCCACTCATCTCTCTGGCTGGCCTTCTCTTTACAGTTGGCAACACCAAGTGTTTGCAGATAACTCTGGACATTATCTCCCCATTATCTTCTTGGTCTGCCTCATGGTCTACGACCATTCATTTGCCTTGTGTATACAGTTTTTACCTCTCTGTCATCTGACATTCTCTCAATATGCCCCAGCTATTTCAAGGTGATAGCAGCCACCTTAATTGCGGAGATGGCATCAAATAGATCAGTATATTCTCTTTTCAATTTCATTTTCACTTCTGCCATCATGTTATAATATGAAATAGAAACATACACATGAAAACCAGAAAGACTGACACTATATTACCTTGTGCCTGAAGATTTTTGATTATGCCAGCATCCCTGAGATAGTGTGGTGCTTGCTCTGTCCCATCATAAGTCTGCAGAAAGTGTACATTTTAAAATTTATAAATGAGTGAATCGAGACTGATATTACTGCAGTATTTTAGATATGGATGTAATGTTTCTGTTGTACTATCCACTTTGCCCCAGACACCCTTTAACAGTCCACCTTCTAAAGTAGCTTGGCCACCAGAGAAAAGTCTAATAATCTGCCTGCTCATTGCCCCACACACTAAATATCCTACAATATAACAGGCTCATTGCCCCACACACTGAATATCCTACAATATAACAGGCACTCATTTACTGTTAAGTAAAGTAAGCAGTAAAGGACCCTTTTCGACGCCTTTAGGCGTATAGCTCATATAGGGCTAGACCTATATTTTTATAGACCAATTGGCACAAGGTGGGTGATGTGGTCAGCATCACACCGGCGTTTACTGTTAGCAGGAAATATTACAGGCTGATCAGCCAGTATTTGAGGCCCAGTCGTTGAAGTGTTTACTTCAGGTAGTCAGTATTTGTGAAAGATAATACATATTTTCCCCTCTAATGTAATTCCAGTGGCAGTTCATAAATAACCCATTGATAGAAAATTATCATTTTCCTGTTGTGCCATTAAACACCACATAGGGCTTGCAGTCTAGTCCTCCATTCAATTTTATCCTGCATAGTCTTTTCAATATAACGTCTGAAATCTATTTCCAGCACCTTTGGCCTATTCTGCTCCTTATTCTTTTGTCATCTCACTGTTGCCAGGTTGTAGCTCAGTATTTTGGTTTTCTTTATTTGACTTGCACTTCTCAATGACTTCAGTTGCCAGTTCCGTATCTGTAAGTTTGTTCTATAATTCATACTTTCTTGTGTAGTAGAGGATCTTGGCCTCTTTCAACAACATTCTTTCTATGGTACCTCTAGGATATCCTTTCCATTTATAAGAAACCTTCGCTATAAACTGTCTGGCCCTTGAATATAAACATCTTAAGAGAACTTTAAGAATTGATTAAGCAATATATCATGTGTCCTTAGTTAACATGGCGAGTGTGTCTAGCAAGACAACCTGCTGGTTCCAGGTCCCATTTGGAAAAAGGAGGGAGCATAGACCCATTGTCTCCCTATCAAGCATATCATGAAAGGTGACTAATTAGGGACTTTTCCTCCTGTAGTGTGCGGAGACATTGTAACTAAGAGGCCAGGTGCTCACTTTCCAGCCTAAAGGATGTGTTCATATCCAGATCCCAAAATGTTTTTTTTTCACACTTGATCTTTGCTCCCAAGTCGATCAAGCCTAACATGGGTACTAGCCTTTTTTTCACAATTGATCTTTGCTCCCAGGTCGATCAAGCCTAACATGGGTACTAGCTTATATCCTGGGAAGTAAAGGCTGCCAGTGTGATGCTGACCACATCCCCCATGCTGATTTGACTATAAATAAACAAAAAAAGTTCATCTAGTACTATGCCCATTAGGTATACTGTGGTGTGAAAATATCTGCATATTCAATATAGAGTGATCTTATCTGAAGGTGTACTGTACAGAAGTGATTTTCAGTTGTTTAAAACAATTGGCGCCTCAGATTTTAAACGTTTTTTATATTAGTAAAAAAAAAAAAAAGTTGTGTATAAAAATTAGAATTACAAACAAGGATTGCATCCTAAAGTTGAGGTTTATTTTTTAAATGAAATCGCAGACCATCAAATTAGAAAACATGCTGCAGCATAACAGTATTTTTAACAGCTCTGATTTATATGGAATGAAGTGAAAAGTAAGGTGTTGTGGTGGGGGGGGGGGGGGGGGGGGGGGGGGGGACAAACTGGAGACAGCAAATCTTCTTCTTCTTTCTGTTGTTCTGAGCTTTCACTGGCTGTAAACTCTGGGTAGAAAGTAATGGCTGTTTGTTCCCTTCTAAACATTGCTGTTGTTCCAGAACTTGTGTTTTATGCATACATTATTTTTACAGATCTGGCTTATTTGTGAGCAGACTGTTGGTTACTCAACTCTCAGACAATACACTCTGACTTCAAAGAAAACACTCCTAATTAGTCAACGTTTCCAACATCCTTATTAGCAGGCAGCGGGTCTATTCTTTGATCTCCAAAATGGAGCCCTGTGACCCACACAGAGAAACAAAAAACAGCAAATAAAACCTACTTGTCCTTTGGAGAAAGGGAACCCCAGTACACCAATGACCTCTCTGGCAGGATGGACAGGCATGTTGGCTCACCAGTGTGGCTGTAATGTGTGGCTGGGAAAAAATGTCAACAAATTATTCATCCACAGTCAAGATGTAACCAGAGGACAGAATGTTTTTAAACCAGAGAAGAAGAAAACATAATGGAAATAGAGAAAAACATATTATTCTGAAACATGGGAAGAAAAGACAGACACAGACAGACAGACAAAAAGAAAGAAAAAAAGAAAGAAAGAAAGAAAAGGAAAGAAAGAAAAGGAAAGAAAGAAAAGGAAAGAAAGAAAGAAAGAAAGAAAGAAAGAAAGAAAGAAAGAAAGAAAGAAAGAAAGAAAGAAAGAAAGAAAGAAAGAAAGAAAGAAAGAAAGAAAGAAAGAAAGAAAGAAAGAAGTCCTATCGACCAGCATAGAACTGACACCAACAAGCGCTGGGTTTAGGTTTAAACCAAAAACCGCTGGATGCTGACTAGAGGGGAATCTGAGGACATATGGATTTGTCTGGTGTGCGGCGAGAATAATTGAACTTATAACGTGCAACAACAAGCCACGGGAAGACAGAGGGATAAAAGGGAAACAAGAATTAACAAACAAATAACACACATTTTTTAAATTTAGTGCGTGTGCCAGATATCATCTTTATCACATTCAGGATATATTTAGTCTTCTTCCTCTTCCTCCTCCTCCCCTTCTTCTTCTTCTTCTTCTTCTTCTTCTTCTTCTTCTTCTTCTTCTTCTTCTTCTTCTTCTTCTTCTTCTTCTTCTTCTTCCTCTTTTTCATCATCATCCTCGTGTTTACAAGTTGTAGTTCTGGTAGCAAGTCCTGGTTGTTCGTTCACTTTTGGACTTCAGACTTACAACATTTGTTGTTCCCTCGTGGGATGAAATTTTTTGTTTGAAGCCCCACCCTGACTTCTGCCGGGGGTCCTGAATATAGCCGGGGCATAGATATGGCCTAACGGCTGAAAGGTGTTTATGGGGCTTCTTCACAGGTGATACTCATTCACATGTGGCACTTTGTGTCACCGGGTGTTTGTCACTTGTGTGATGTACTGGTGGGGTACAACTACCTACCTACCTACTTCAGACTTGTTGCAAAATTTAAATTTTAAATGTATGCACAATTTGTATTCCTTGCCTCTCAAACAGATGCTATGAAGTTCCTGCTTGGAGCACTATTATTATTATTATTATTATTATTATTTTAAAGTCTATTGTGTATCCTTTTCAAAGAAATTAATTCAATGAACTGTGACTGAAAAGCTTAACGAAATGGGGAAGCAGGACAACGTGCGCGCACGCACGCACGCACACACGCACACAGAAAACACACACACACACACACACACACAAATCAACATTTCTCAACATGAACTATCTTCTACAAGACGCTGCAGAACCAACTCCAGGATTTGTCAGCTGTCTGGTTTTACTATGCAATTTTACGTTCAGTAATATGTCATTGCATATTAACGGTCGCATTCAAAACAAGACGGTCTGCAACTGGAATATTATTATTATGGGGCAATTAAATAAGATTTAAACCCTTTCAGACCCTCTGACCCAGAAGATTATCGGAGGTGGCGGCGTCAAGGGCTTTGTTAAACTATCTCGCTCTAATTATTATCAGAATACTGGAAACACAGCAGAAATGGAGATCTCCCAAGAACAGAATAGTGCCTAAATGTATAATAAAAGTCAAAGGCGTTATTTTGGGACAAGTACAGAAATTTAGGTATCTAGGCACATGGATAACATCCGACGGAAGATGTATCATATCGATATGGAACAGAGTAGGATTGACAAAAACTACATTTTATAAAATGAACATTTCCTGCAATAAATCCATATCACTGGAGGTAAAAGATTTCTTGCATGCTGTATAGAGCCAGTTTTAAATACTGCTGTAAAACCTGGACTATTCATAAACAAACCGAAAATACATTGAGGCCGCAGAGATGTAGTTTTATATAAGAATCCTTAGAATTAATTGGACAGCTAAAAAGAGCAGCCAAGATGTTTTGAAAGAAGCGTATGCTCGAAGACAACTTATCACAAATATTAAAAAGAGACAGCTATTAATTTTTTGGTCATGTTATAAGTAGAGGGAAAATTGAAAATATTGTGACCACTGGAAAGATCTGTGGAAAGAGAGACAGAGAAAGACAGCGCGAGAGGATTCTTGACAACCTTTTTGTGATGGTATAGAGGGGTGTGAACACATGAACTGATACAGGCAGTTGTGGATCGCAGATTGTGGAGAAGCATGATTGCTACACTTCAGTCTGGGAAGCTTCTAGAATTGCAAACACCGCTGACACAATTCAGCTCTCAGCAAAGAGTCCCAATGCAGTCGATACCGACCCATTATTAATAGCCTATAAATGAGACAGCTAATCAACTGGCAGAAGAAAAAAAAATGCAACAAAAGAGCAGCCGGATGTACCAGTTACATATCACCAAAGGAAAAGAATCATTAAATCGATTAAGAAACCAGCAGCACCAGCACAAGATGACTATTTTATTATCAACAGATCAGAACAAGTCACTATCCTTCGCCTCAATATAGGGCACAACCGATCCCATAACAACATGTATACAAAATTCAAGACAGGCGTTTCCGCCACGTTCACCTGTGGAAAGGTGCCATAGACAACATAACACGTACTCCAGGACTATACCGAATGTGATACATTAAGGCAAACCTTTTGGTCAGAAAGAACAACTAGGGAATGTAAACTCTATGGACCACTAACGAATTAAATATATATTATATTATATAAATGGGTAAAAAAGGGAGGGGGCTAACTCTTATCCCCTTACTTCTTCTTCTGCTTATTCTTTGTGTTCACCAGCATAAAGTTTTGGTTGTTCCTCCACCTCTGGTCTCGTTCAAGAAAATAAGTATCGTGTGCTCATCCGTTTTACAGATTTAGCTAAAAAATATATGCAGACTGTTGGTTCCTTGCCTCTTAGGAAGATGTACTCCGGCTTCGAATGAAGTCCCAAATTACTCGACTCTTGCAACATGCTTACCCTGGAGGCAGTGGATCTATTCTTGTTTTCTCCCCAACCCACACGGACAAGTCCCCTTCTAAAATTACAGTGAGGCTCCCTAAAAAATAGGGGACCCGTCAATAGACCTGAGCCCAAGTGTTCCGACGCCTATGCATCCATTCGCGTATGAGTAAGCAAGACATTGTCCACTGTATATCAAATTGTGCTGGAATAAACTGCAGGACTAGTTTGTTTTAGGAATGAACTATCCACGATCCTGCCACAGAACTTAACAGAGTCAACAAAAATAGAACTAAAAGGGAACTCCTAAAAACAGTCAAGTTTATCACAAGAACTTGTCTGTCGGTGTAAATCAGAAAGCGAAGAAGAAGAAGCCACAGAACAAGACACGTCCATCCTGTCAAGGCCCAACAAGGCCGTTAACCCTGCTATGCATTACAAATGCGTCAAGAACTAAGGTTGCCTTATAACAACCAAACCTACAACACCGCATGCGTAAGTTAGAACAAACAAGTAAGTGAAAATAAAAGACAAATAACAGATAAGAAAAGTCGGATATCTAGACCACGTTGGTTCAGCAAACAAATAAACAGCTGTTAGAACTTATGTGGTTAGCCGTTGTTGTTTTTTTTTTTTTAATGTGTTTGTTATCTCTAAAATCACATAGTTTTTGTGTTACTGTCCTGGCTGATGTCATAGCGATCAGCAAGACGAGTGTATGAGTATAGGTGCACGGACATGTGAATAGAAGTATTCATGATCATCATCTGCCACTTTTGCTGTTCAGCGCCGTAGCCAAATAATGTTAGCATTTCGGCTCTTGATATGTAGCAAGGTTATTGTGATGCTATGTGTGTGTATATAATATCTTTAATGACTCCAATCCAAGGTCGTCTTCAATGGGGATCAATCCATCATCTCCGTTTGGGTTCTGGGGCCCACTAGAGGGAGGAAGAATATCAGCACTGCACATCTACTCAGACCGTACTGATCTATCTTTTCCTCGGCACTTTTCACTCGCTCCCAAAGGCACCTCACAACATCTAGCTTGTCATACATCAATTTACCACCAAATGGTGCAGAAATGGCCAGTCTATCTGCCTGCTCGTTTCCAAACTCTCAGGCATAGCCTGGAGAAAATATCAAAAAGGATGCTGTATCACATCCATTGCTAATTCTTTTATCAGTTTCAAACCATTTGTTGACAGCCCATTCTTCATAGTTGTAAAATGACTAACTATCAGATGAAGAAGTGTGAGAAAAATGGTTACAAAGCCATAGTCTTGAATAGCCTATAAAGAAGTCTCTGACTGAATGGCTTTTAATCACGCTCAGACAACAACAGCCTCTGGTAGAAGTTCAAGGCCGGGTAGTGAAGAACTGTGGTCATGTGAATAGCTGTGGTTGACGCGACTGGGTCTTTGGGAGGGCGGCTATTGAATCCTGGAACGCTTCGCTTTAGAGTAATAATTTAAATATGGCAAACTTACAAAAATCCACTAGGCTGAATAAATGTGTATCAGAATGAGTTCTCTCTCTCTCTCTCTCTCTCTCTCTCTCTCTCTCTCTCGCTCTCGCTCTCTCTCTCTCGCTCTCGCTCTCTCTCTTACACACACTCACTCAATCCCCCACCCTTCTTTTCTAGAGTGCTGGGGCAACAGCGCTGTGCTAAAACACAAAATTCGGTAGCTCAAACAACGACCTTCTGTGATCTCACAACACAAGTATTCGAGAATCAAAAGATGGGCTACAAAATCCTAAAACATTCAGAGCGCGAGACAAACGACTTAACCCCCTTCTCAGCAGGGATTTTTCTTCTTTTGTTTTGTTCGCCCCCTAAAAGTGGGGTTGAACAATGTATTGTAATTTATACCGAGGCTTCTGTATCGTCTTCTTCTTCGCTTTCACCAGTTGTAAACTCCGGAGGTAAGTTTTGGTTGTTCGTCGACTTCTAGACTCTAGTCCGTTTTCAGAACCTGAGTGTTATTCGCACATCCATTTTACAGTTCAGA